ATTAGGAGGGAGATCAGCATAAAGTCAGATTTCCGTTGCTGGCGCCTAGAAGCGATAGCAGCGTTTCTTTGGAGTTTGACGAAGAGGATGAGGACTTTTTGGGAGGTGGGGTTGACGCTTTGTTGGATGCGCCAGTACCACTTCCAAAGCAACGTGAAGGTTCAAGTGCATCGCGGGGGACGTCCAGAGACGATGCAGTCAGCGTGGACTCGTCGCTCTCTGCCTCAAGTGTGAATGTCAATATCGACGTTGACGTCCGAATTGGAACCGTAGATGAAGGACATCTGGCAGGGGTGGGATTACCAAGACAAGATCAACGTTATGGACCCGAAAGGGGCAGTGGTGGGATGGTCTATGCACCGCAGGGTTCTCATCTTAGGCTTGTGGACAGGTATGCTGAACAACCGCAAGCTTCGTACATCGACCCAGATTTGATGTCGACATGGTCTACCGGTTTACATACGTTTTCATTTCCTCGTCTCGGGTCAAATACTCACTTTCACTCCTGCTCTGTATGTAGACTAGAAGAGTGGGTATCGTATTTATCAAATAATGGCGAGCCGACCCAGCATCCTCCGTGACATATTATCTACGGATAGACCTTTTCCTGATGCTTGAACGGTCAAGAACGTTTGATCGGCGACAAGGGACGAGAATAAGTATGTGATTCGAGGAACGAGCGAGGTGGGTGAGTTCCAATGGCGGCGTGGGCACCCAAGTGGAGTTGAAGTGGAGCATTAGTGAACACTGATGGAATAGTAAGAGTGGTTTCAAGCCTGGAGCGATATCACGGCTGCTGTTGTTACCTCTCCCTCCATATGGCTCTCTATTCTCAGCTTCACCTTCATTGCTTCAAGACTGCTGTGGTATTTAACTTTGAATTCCCTCATATCTTTGTGGATATGTTCATATTGCCAAACCCTATGAGTCGTCGCGGAGTTGGAGGCTAGTCAAAGGAGACACCAGCCGCATGGAATGATAGAAGTACTAGTGCTATTATATCGTAGCGGCGCAAGCGTCAGTCCCCGACTCTGTTTGAAAACAATACTCGGTCAAAATACCACAGTAACATGCAAATTGCGTATCATAAATAATGTAATTTACACAACCCACCTGAATAATCTTCTACACTTATTAGTTGCCTGCTCGTCGCCGAACCGCTAGCGCGGTTCGCTCCTCGCAGGCCAGCCGAGGTTCTATGCACCTTACCAAATGTTCCGGCCAAGTGGACATGGGAAGAAAGAACGGAACAAGCCGAAGATTGTGGGAATCCATCACACACGATGGAGCTCGGAGCTTTATCGTTCTGACGGAACCCTCTCTGTTCCAGAGTCGGGGATCCATTCGTCTACGCTTCGATCGCCAGCGGCCACCCGCTTCCGCCACATAAAGGCTCGTCTTCATAGCTGCACATGTGCATCACTCGACGTCCAACGTTCAACGTCAGCTGTCTCCAGTCCAACTCTATAGTACTCGTAGTACTTGCTACTATTATAGCCTTCCCCGCGACAACATCCACGCGAAGTCGCAAGTCCAGGCTGGCTCCCCCGTTCAGCGTGTCTGTGTTCAGCCGTCCCTTCAAAGTTATTTATTCATTCAAAGAACAGGTGACCCAGCTCGAACTCCCAACAACCTGACTCGGACTACGCACCCTTTCCAATGGCCATCGCTGGTCCTGCCGCAGCAGCACTCGCCTCATTGAAACCTGATCAGGTTACTTTTCTACAATCTCTTGAAAAAGCTGAACTTCATGCCCACCTCAACGGTTCTATACCCATTGCGGTCATCCAACAGCTTGGCAAGGAATACGTAAACTCTCCATCATCCACACACGGCGATGCAATCTACGCCACGATAGAACGACTCATTTACGGTTCTGAGCTTGAGACGATAGACGATTTCTTTTCGGTATTCCCAATCATCTATCACTTGACGTCTACGCCTGAAAGCCTGGCTTGCGCGACGCGAGGTGTTCTGAATGCTTTCCTGGACGGCGACCATCCGCAATGCAATTATCTTGAACTTCGTACGGGACCAAGAGAGACTGAATACATGAGCAGGGAATTGTATATGCGAACCGTTTTGAATGAGGCAGAAAAATATGGGGAAAAGGTGGGCGTAATTCTGAGCTTGGATCGCAAAACTGGCGAAAAGACTTGGCAAGAATGCTTGGATATAGCACTTAAGCTAAAGGGAGAGGGAAGAAGACTTGTTGGGGTTGATCTCTGCGGCGAACCATCCATGGGAGACGTTGCGGATTTTCAAACATTTTTCTGTGAAGCGAAGAAAGCGGGATTGGGTGTCACGTTGCATATCGCCGAGGTGAGACCTCTCACAACTTAAAAATCCCTTCGTAAACATTTATACCCATATTTAGATCATTTCTAGCACCCCCGAGGAGACTCTGAAGCTCTTGTCTTTCCAACCCGACCGCTTGGGGCACGCCACATTTCTCAACAAGGAAGCTATGGATATCGTGATAAAAAATAACATCTGCGTTGAGATCTGCCTAACTTCTAATTTATTGTGAGCAGTGTTCAACAATTTTTGTCGCGAACTTTCCAAATTGCTATTGGTGCAGGAGCAAAACGGTAACTGCATTGGAGTCTCATCACATTCGTCAATACCTCAAGGAAAATCATTTGATCGCCATTTGTGTATGTCCTCTTTTTTATTTATTTGACCAAAGTCAGTCATTGAGTATATTACGCAGACGGACGACATCCTGCCTTTTCGTACTTCTCTGTTGGCAGAATACGCCCTTCTTCTCGCTCAACCTCCGTTAGGCCTTGGTCTAACTGAGGACGAAGTTAGGGAGATCGGAGAAATGAGTCTGCAGGCCAGATTCACAATGGGTTCTAGTTGAGGTATTTCACATGCATTGTTTGTCTGCTCGTTTCAAACGATAACAGGTTGCTGAGTTTCAGAGGCCATGATCACCATTATTGGTGCATTCCCATTTAGACATGAACTAAGTTGTGTGCTCATAGAAGAAGAGAAAAACTGGTCATTGTAAACGCTACTTAGGACTGACTATTTAATACCCACTCTCCATTGATACGATTTTTATGGGTATATACAAGAACAGTAATAGTGGGATGGTAGATGTAGACTAGAAATAGTGGGATTGGTTGGCAAAGAGTGGGATTGAATTTTTGATAGTGGGATTGATTTTGTACCTACAAAATTTATATTTGACCGCCTCAGGTTCTAATTTCTGTTTGAATTTTCTCTTATAATACTCTGGTTTATGATTTGTATGGTAGCCTTATGCCTTTCAGAATTGCTTCACACATTTTTTGAAAGGATAAGAATAAGTGCAAGAGCTTAATTTCTGTTTGAAGTCAGAAGTGAGCACCAGTGCATCTGGAACAGCGTTTTGGCCGGGTAATTTAGTTGTAATTATGTAGTTGTACATAAATTCTTGAATTTATCTAGCTACCTAGGTCTAGCAGTCTCAGGTAGACCTGTAGTTACCTGTAGATTCATACTTGCCATAGAATATCAGGCTTGGCGGATGATCTGTACCTGGAACGATGCGAGTGGCGTTATCCGGTGCCAAAAACAGGCTGTGGGACAACTGATGGCAGGAACATTCGACCGCACTTTTTTACAATTGAAGTTCGACGTTCTCCTTACCCTCTTCTTCCCTCTACCCTCACGATGACTCAAATGTTAGTGGTTAACAGTTCCTGCTCCCAATCACTACCCACCACCCACCATACCGTCGGTAAGCTCCACTATGCATGCAACACCACCTGTAATGCTAATCTGGACTGCCTATGGACCGCAGGCAGCTTTCAGGTCATTGCTCACCCCACATTCCATCTGGTGAGCTGACCTACACCTTGCTAACTAAAAGCACATCAAGTCCGACCCCGCATGTCAGCACTGTGTGTTCAACCCAGCAAGTACTCGCAAGCGAGGACACTTATCAAGGTCTGTGCCAGTGTGTAATCCCGTGTGGCCATTCTCCCCTTCCGCCTCAGCAGCAATCCTACTTTTCATTTAGATTAGGTACAGACTAAAGTTTCTATGGACCAATAGAAGTATGACAGTGAGCCCCACCAGTCCCTTCTGTTTGTTGAGCATGCACTAATGCCTAGTTTACAATCAATGTCGTCGCTATCACACTTAGGTTCACATTTGAGTGGGGGTGCACCATCACAATTGATTGTGCGATGCCGGGGAATGTCCACGATGATCACCCGGAGCCAGGGAGGGTGTCACCAATTTGACTGCACATCGACGTCGTCCCCTGCTCCTTCCAGTGTGCCGTGGTCAATCCTTTATATGTTTATATAGATTACAATTACACTGGCATGTAAAGTAGAAGTTGCCGCAATATGATTATCTTTCTGCATACTTTTTAAATATTTTTCAGAATTTTTGGCCTGACACTGGAAAGATCATGAAAGCAGATGTGCCTGTAATTCACCCAATTGCTGTTGGGATCTGATTGATCCATAGGCCGCGTAGAGCCTGGTAGACCGGCTAGGGAATGTCTACCCGAACTACTGTAAAAAGGGGAAATTACAGAGCTTTACATATGAGGAGGCTATCAACAGGCCTACCGATCACTATATGTCTACATAGATCTATGTAGACAGTGTTCTGTTTCCAGATGTGTGGGAACATGGAATGATGGGACATTGACAGATTGTATCTCACTCGTTTGAATTTTCTCTTACAATATTTTGGTTTACAATTTGTATGGTAGCCTTATGCCTCTCATTTACAGCTATTTTCATATACTATGTTTGTTCAGGTGTTTGAAACCCATCAGGTGTTTGAAACTGTGGATTATTTTACCTTCCACTTGCCTTGGGGCCTTGGAACTTTCACAGAAGGTGCATTTATGTATTAAATTTATTGTCTCAAAATTTTAGAACAAGAGTCAAAGAATTGTGGTCTGGTGTGAAGCGTTCACTCTGAACTTCTCACATAGCTGAAGCCAAGAGGGAAGGAGGAGGCAAGAATGGGTGGATCTGGGATCAACACCCATAAGTGAGCAATGAGCAGTTACAAGATACTCAGCTGGCCCAACATGATTATGCATACTGTAGGAAGTACAGATATACAAAGCACTACATGTAGTGCAAGAGGAAGGCAACACAGCTGACAAGATGGTAGTTCAAGACAAAAGATCAATATATTATGTAAGATATCCAAATCTAGCTATATACCACTGTTTGACTATGGCCTCTGGGCATTCCCTTCCAATCCTATATCACATCTGGGGACATGGTTTTGTGGTTTTCATTACACCAGACAAACAAAAGTAATGGAATGTTCTCTCAGATCCCTCCAGATCGGCTTGACTGTTTATTCTAAAACTTTCCAATTGCATTTGAATGGCATACTTAAGTTCAAATAAGAAAATTTAGATAGCGAGGTGAAGTTGTCGTTTCAGGAAGGGCAAAAGACCAAATTCCGCTATGAAACAGCTCGAAAAATGTGACATTTGTGTGACATTCACACATCATCTATCAGCCAAATTCGTTGTTACCTAGTGTGACACGAGTTTCAATCTCCTGATATATCTGAACCCTGAGCACCAGAACACCTCTGACAGTGAACACAACACATTTATACCAAAAAAAAGTAGATACTCATATATAAGAGAAAAAAGATTATTGGCCTGTAAAAAAATTTAAAGAATTTGATGAAGTGGTGAGTCAGAAATCGTGAAATGCTGAAAAAGTTTCAAACACCTGAACAAACATAGTAGGTTGGCACTCACATGTCATTTTGAAAGTGTGAGAAATTGATCAAATTTGGCCCTTGGGTTCTGTGTCTACAGTCTAGCGGTGGCAATCTTGCCCTGGTAGCAGTTCTCTATCTACCTTCCTGTAATATGGCTAGTGTAACTAATTCTATAGTTCCAGATACATTTCTCTATCCATCGACCCTTCAACAACCGTCGATGCCACAATTCCATCCACAGTGAGAAGTGCGGTTGCCACCCAGTCAGCTCCTTCCCTCCACATGCAGTACATGCCAGTCCCCACACCATCATATGTGCACCTGCTGAACAATTGCCCAATTGCAATCTTTGCTGTCAGGCACACCTACCTTGCCATGAAACGATCCAACACCAATGTAGCTGTCAAAAGACACATTCCAAGGACAAATCATTGGTTCATTGTGGCACAGCATCCTTTTTTGGCATGCCCATTTGCTCAAGTGGCAGTCTTGTCACTTCTCTTTGGGCTTGTACTGGCTAATACAAGTAATGTAGTTATTGCGCAGAAGGGCTGTGCATGGTGTGGTTGGTGAGTTGATGAGAGGTCAAACAGGCTAAATTAACTAAGTAGCAAATTTGCTCATGTTTTTGAAAATGATGCAAGAGTGCCAACCCTTCTGAAAATAGCTGTAAATTGACTGCTGCATGATACAATCCTACTATTTCAGTTTTTTATCCCACTACCTGGGGCTAAATCCCATTATTTTACTCTTATAATATAAGCTCACTATTACTATGCTTGTGATCACCCTTTCGAAAACTGTGAGAAAAATACACACCTGTGCTGGTCTTTTTTGGTTCTTAAATATTTACAAAAACATGGCAACTGGCAACTGGACTGACCACAAATGTGGGCAACTGCAACTGGAAAAAGACTAGACTGAACCACGTATATTTTCAGACCTGTAGACTGGACTTGCGAACACTAGTCTCGATGGGTACACATAGTGTTTGAAAGTCCGGTTCGGTCCGGTTTTTTGATGCCCAGGGGCATTAACCGTAACCGTAACTGGTCTGCCTTTTCCCCAGAAGTCAAAAGACCAGACCAGACCGCAAAAAGACCGCAGACCACAGTTTTTTGCGGTCTATAGACTGGTTTCGGTCTGCATCGGTTTTAACCGGTTTATGGCCGGTCTTTAGGCCAATATTTTAAAATTATGAATCGGTAAATTTACTGACATTTTTATTAGCTTCACAACGAGCCCAAGAACGTTAAATTCCGTTAGGAACTGGTGCTTCTATAAAATAAATCTGGTACATCTATTATTCCCAAAAGTAATTTACATTTTAATTCATATCTCTCTCGTTTCTTGACCAAATCGTACATTCTTGGGTGCGTTTTAAAGGGTATTTAAGGGGCTACAAAGGACCGGTCCAAACTGGTCAAGACCGGTTCATGTTAACCGGTTTTTTTGCGGTCTTTACATCTCAAAAATAAAAAGACTGAACCACAGGTCCAGTCTTTTACGGTCTTGGTCCGGTCTGGTTACGGTCTTTTTCCAGTCACAAGACTGGACTTCCAAACACTAGGTAAACAGAAGCGGTGCACCACACCATACAGTGGAAAACGGCATTTGACCTCCAAGTCAAGGTGTCAAAGGCAGGAATTGTGGAATTCAGGATGGGCCAACTAGTACAGGTATACCAAAATAAAGTGGCCCTAACTCTAGGCACAGAACACAAGCTGACCCCCTTGTGGTCGCCCCCTTGATGAGTCATGGAGCAGCTCCTGAACTCCTACAAGCTTGAAACACTAGAGGGTGTTCTGTTGGATGGCCTCTTCCATGTGAGGTGTCTCTGAAGCTTCACACCACGAGAAGGCACAACATTAGCAGAGGGGCAGAAGAAGTTTGAAGAGGCACTCACCGAGAATGAGCTGGATGAATTGAGGGTTGCAGTACAGGCAGAAGATGTGCAGGAGGCAACAGCAGAGGAAGACCTTGGTGAGCAGGAGTCAGAAGGGTCTGGAGTTGATGAAGGCGATGGAGATAAAGGGTTCTTCTATGATGAGGAGGATGAAGAGGTGCAGGAGGATGAAGAGATGGGCATTGGGGCCAGAGTGGCAGCAAGGAGTCAGGACGTGAGAATGTCTCCATAATAGAGGCGGGCAGATGGAATAGAGAATGGGGCACTCTCCCCCCATGAGGCATGTGAGCATAGGATTAGTCAGTGAGTAGCATACAGGAGCATGTACGGACAGTGGAACACCACCACTTCACCACACATCCACAGTGCTAAAGGCACTAGAGCCCATTCCACTTGTAAATAGTGGGAGTAAATGAAGAGTGGAGGATATGTGTAAACAGAGCAGAACAGAGCAGGTCACAAGTGACAAGATGTCTACTTCAACAACAATTTTTCACTGAACAAATTCAATTCAAAAACCCAGTGCTTCACTTGTTTGAACATACTTGCTGGTGACCGTTAGCAGGCATTCGGTAGATACACAATGGAGGTATCATAGATGTACCCCAATGGGCCAAACTGATGAGTAGTGATGGGCTTATAATTGGGTCCAATTTTTATAAAGGTGTAGCTTGCCTTGAGGTGATGATTGGGCCATGGTGGGGCCAATTTCAAAAAGAATAAAAAATTTCCACAATTCCCACCCCCTTATCCTTACAGTATCTTAGCTCGGAACTTTGCACTTGTATATGTTAGGGTCTGTTCGGCAATGAGAATGCGAGCACATTCTCATTTTGATGGCAAGCTGGATTATTCCCACCACCCAAATATGGAAGGCACATGGTAGAGAGTGACAAACACTGATTGTATCTGACCTTGCCGCCTCTCCCCTCAATCTTATCCCCTGAGGGTATGGTCTATGTAGACAGAAGCTCATTGTAACTGCTGATATGTATTTAATGTTTTTTTGGTGTTGCTACTACTCTCTATTCCTCTCCCTTCTACTGATAGCAAGCATGCCACAGATCAAATTTATCTGGTGAAGAATGGTTGGAAGATTTGATAAATGGGAATCACCATAGGATATAGACTGAGCTTGGGGTGCACAACCCTCTGAGGAGGAGGAGGAGGAGGAAGAGGAGGAAGAGGAGGAATGAACAAGGAATGAAAGAACAAGATGATTTGGTTGAATAGAACATCTAAGTACTTGCACTTTCAATCATTCAAAAGGTTTGGCCTTCATGTTATCCTGCATACATTCCCCCAGCTTGATAGCCAACATTTTGCTAACATGCAGTTTGGATGATTGTGATGATATGTGATGAGATGTTATATTTGGTTGGTGGGAATAATCCAGCCACCATCAAAATGAGAATGTGCTCGCATTCTCGTTGCTGAACAGACTGGGTTGGGTTTAATCCCTTCTTACTGAACCTTTTTCCTTTCTCCTCTTTCATAAAGTTGAGGTCTCTCTTTTAAAAAATATGTATAGAAAACATTGGTTTCCTCTAGTAATGTTGTGAATCATAGCTGGAGAGTATTAGTTAAATTCCGACTATTCTAGGAATTTATTTTAAAAAATCGACAACTATCTTCCCGTCCTTTCATGCAGTTGTGAACATTTGGTGTCCTTGTCCAGTACATAAATTAGCTGTTTAGTTCCTTTTTTAATGCAGAAGTTCTGGTGCATTTCATCCAAATTTCATCATGCTTCCATCAGTATTAAAACCAGTCGCTTTATGTACTTCAGTCAAGGGGAAAAAATTAAAATTCCATCATGTGGCTGCCTGGACATAAATTTCAGGTAAATGTGTAGTCATTGGAAAGGTAGTTAAAGAAGAATGGACCCCTGATCATAGATATGGACATTTTTTTGCTACTTCCATCTCCTCTGTGTACAATGCTGAGTCACGCTGGCATGTGCAATATGATTATCTTTCTGCATACTTTTTGATATTTTTCGGCATTGTTGGCCTGAGACTGGAAAGATCATGAAAGCAGATGTGCCTGTAATTCCCCCAATCACTGTTGGGATCTGATTGATCGGTAGGCCGCGTAGAGCCTGGTAGACCGGCTAGGAACTGTCTACCCGAACTACCGTAAAAAGGGGAAATTACAGAGCTTTACATACGAGGAGGCTATCAACGGGCCTACCGATCACTATACGTCTACACAGATCTATGTAAACAGTGTTCTGTTTCCAGATGTGTGCTCTGTCACCCCAGAAATAAAACAATGACTCGGGAACTTGTAAAATTTATGTGGATTGATGCTTAACTTTCTTCCAGTGATTACTCTTTCATATACTTACCTAGCCAGCTCTCCATCCCGTTATTATTTCTCTTGTTTTCATATATCTGCACTTTTTCTAATGTACAGTATCAAAATTATCCACCTCTGGGTGCGCCGTGCGCGTTGCCGAATGGAGCAAGAAGGTCCAATGAGCAGGACCAATGATAATACCGTCCCGTGAAGAATATAACACTTCAAAAACTTCCTTCCGCTTCCACATCGAGATCAACGTCCGTCTCACTGCCCTGACCTTTATGGTTTGCGAACGTCAGGGTGTCCTCTTTATGCGTGAACGTCTCCATCTGTATGGTCCAACAACACAATCGGCCGATGTTTTTTTGTAAGGGGTAAGAGAACGAACCCACCTGAACATGTACACCAGACTTCACACCACCATCACTTTTGAAGTGAAGTGAGGCCAGATCTCTTGTAGCGGCCATGCCAGTGACTCCAGCCGATGAACTGTGAGAGAATTGTGAGTATGAGAAAAGTTATAGCGACAGGGCAATAAGGCCTACTAGACTTCCAGACCTGAGTTGGTGAAGTTTGTGAGGCGGCGAACCGCGCGGCATGCGACGATCTGAATGGAGTGTTCACATTGATAGTTAATATAGTGGGCGGGGTTGTGACGAACGGACGAGGCAACGATAGCGGGGACGTTGAACATGACGGTCATGATCTGGTTGAGGTTAAGGAGCATGGATACGGTTGCGCAGAGGTTTGCCAGGAACCTGAAGGGGTGCGGATGGGTAAGGTGTTTATTGCTGGAGCGAACCTGTCTCAACTTACGCAATGAAGAAGAAGATCAACCCATCCTCGAATATCATCCGAGCGAGTCGGCTCCGACCGAACAGATTCGCCTTGTCGTGAATTCCGAGGAGCTTGTAAGTGTTGAGCAGGAGAACGATAAGGTCGAAACACATCGAGTAGATGAAGATGGCGGCGAGGATGGTGTTGTTCGTTTGGGTAAGGACGCAACCCACGCCGTCGACCCAAGTAACTTTCAGTTGCATGCCTGTCAGAGGAAAATTCTCAAAACAAGACAGGGGTTTGGTAGCAACGGATCTACCTTGTAGGATTAAGGACCAGTGACCGAGAATAATTAGGACGAGGAGGCCAATTATGTATTTATTTTGCGACCATATCGCCATCCTTTAATGCGAGTTAAATTGACGTCGTGAAGATCGAGAGGTATAATCTACGTTCGGATCGAAAGATTGATGCTTGCTAGCCCAATTGCAGCATCGCCTGCAATTTGGTTGAAAGTGTATAGGGTCTGGCAATCGACCTTCGAAGTAGTATCCACGGAAATAATGCTGCGAATTAGTGGGTTGAGGTCAGCCAAGCAGTCTTTTTTTTAAAAACTCAACGACTTACATCCCTACCAGCGCAAAAAGAAGGAGATATCTATTCGCGAAGTAGAAAATCTGGACAATGATGAGAAGAGTCCGAGGGGTAAGGAGTAGAAAGGTACTATTGGCCAACGGAATTTCCTCTTTCCCAACAAAAAACCGAAATCGAAGTTTAAAGAAAGAAACCATTCGTATCTTGGGGTCGCAGTCAGGCCATCTAGTTGATGCGTAGAAACAGAAAGACGCACGCGTATACCCCCAAGAGAACATGGATGAGTTTGACGAACGCAGACCCCTCCTTCTGCAGCTCTGCGGGTGATTTCCAGTCGGGCATTCTGGTCGCGGATGTGGAAAGGATCGAACAAAATGGAGGGAGAGGAGAGAACTGGGAGTGGGAAGGTGGGAACAGCCTCTCTATCGAACAACGCAATCACCGTAGTTTTTCTACCCTTCTCCCAGTTGGCCCTTGCAATAAAGAAGTGACCATCTCGTCGCGGTTATGTCGGAAAAATACGATTGGCCTGATAAGGCACGTAAAGCAGGTAATGACCGGTGTCAGCATGAAAGCCTGTCTGTAGAGTTAACGACGCCCCCAATATCGCTTCAGACTTGGATAGCGGGTCGTTCGAGCTGCTTGCACTCGATAGCGAAGCTGAACCCAGCAGTCCGTTGGCGACGAAGGTGGTCATTGGCGGTGTCTAGAGAGGCGGTCGTTGAGCAGCGTGACATCGCGTCCGGCATTTTGAAGGTGCCTTATCGGGAACCTGGCGACGACAACCAGAGACCAATAATTTCGGCCATCATAGGTTGCCTTTTTTCCTTACCGGAATTGATGCGGACTAGTTAGGCAAAACTTACAGCCAAATCAGTTGTTTGTGCAGCGGGAAAAATGAGGTATATAATAAAATCTTGTTTCGATTCAAAGCGCCAGAGAAAACTTGAAAGAAATTGAAATTTATTCTCCAAATTGTCTAGGATTTATCGACCGCTTTTTATCGGAATATAACTATAAACTGTTTTGCTTAGATCAATCATCATGTAAGGAAACAGGGAAGATATAAAAAAAATATCTCATAGCAAGGCACAAGGTAGAAATATTAGAGAATATTTTTAGAATATGTGACCCGGATAAATGCCTCAGTGGCTTTCCGTTTGATCGCCGACTTGTAAGGTGAATATATTCGGATCTTAGGCGCTGATCAAAATGTTGTGGCGGAATCGGAAACAGTATTGGTGCGCGCGTCCATGATTTCCGGGATTTCGTAGGAGTCTTCAGTGACCGTTTCCTCCAAGAATCCATAACTATTAGTATAATTAATGTAACAGGCCATTCCATCGATTCCACGTCACCGTTTTATTCCAGCTCACTGAGCTTTCTTCGACAAGTTTCTGAATCGCTCCCTTCTGTATTATAATCAGCTCGAGCTTCAAGTACAGTTCTCGATGAATTTGTATTGATAGTTTACTTGCCGCAGTTGGAAGAAAAAGTATTAGGCCTCTTCTACCGTCTACGACACCGTCACAGGTATATTCACTAATTTCTCTTATGACTGTCATTGCGCCTGTGCTATGAGCCCCTTGTGAGTACAGAGCCTCGATGGACTTGTTTAAGTTCTCCTACTTACATGGATTGGTCATTGATCTAATTTCTGTCCTGTTGATTGCGAAATATTGAATGTGCAAAGCTGAGAATGGTGGAAAGCTTCTTTCCGTGTAAACTTGAACATTAGTACGAGTAGTCAAGAGCTGATGAGCCGACGACCATGTAACGTGCCCCACAAGGATAGCCTACAGTCACTGCGGCTCATTGATCTTCAGCTTCGAAACCGCCGCCCTCACACCGCATCCTAACCTCCGACCGAGCCCTGCAATCGTTTTCCAAATATATGGGAGCCGTAGAGGGAGAATGTTGAACGTACACGACTGTTCGTGAGACATGTGTATACGGTTATTCATTGTGTGACTGTTTAAGAAGGAGGGGATATTCGTCATGTCCAAGACGGCTCTTCGGGAGGGAAGAAAACATTGCGCATGCACATGCCCATCCGCCCTGAGGCCTGACCAACGTGCAATCAAAGTCCGGAGAGAAGGGCGTGCCGCCGATGCAACATTCGACATCTTCGTCCTGTTGAAGGCGACCATTTGAAGAGAGGGAGGACGTCCTGATCGACCTGCTTTCTCTTCATTCGAGCCATGCTCGTGATTTGGCCTAGTTGAACCCCCGCGGCTTAAGACGATTGATAAAGGAACTTGAGCGCCTCGGGGTGTCGCACCATCTCGGGTGGTGAATCAACGTCAAAGCTCCGAATCTGGTCGCACTCGATTCTGCAGGAGGACGGCATCGAACGGAACGTGCCAGGCGGAAGGGCTGGATATGGTGCTGATGACGGGTGGATATAAATCCGGTCATAGTTCGAGACGTCGATGTAGTCAGCTTGCTTCAGACTCGTTGGGTCAAGGGTGGATATTTCGTGGTGAAGTTCCGTGCACATGCTCGTTGATGACGCAGTCGGCCCCGTGTGTTCGGAGGAGATGGTTGAGTAGGAGCCATCACTTGAGAAAGGGGAGCTTAGAAGGAGGGGTGGAGGATGGAAGAGAAGAAAGGACGTACGGGAGGGGAATAGAGACGACGACGTCGTATAGCGTGACATGTTTATTCTCCAGCTCGTAGTCAGTCCATCATCGGAGGCTGAGGCTAGCAGTTGACTGAGCGAATGATCAACAAAATTTGACGAGAACAATCTAAAACTCACTCGACAATGGCGCATTATTCTCATCCGTCCCAACATACCCCCATTTCAACACCGCTATGCTCTGCCCAACGAGAAACGCCCTTCCAGGGTCTTTGAGCGCAACCACCTTTGGCCCTGCACCAGGTGCGAACTTGGCGACGTTGGGGTGCTGCTTAAATGCAATGTGGTGCTGTAGTTCGAGCCCGCTTTGGTTGAGGTGTTGGTGGGTTGGTGCTGTTTGGATGGATATACGTTCCCGAGAGAGAAGAACGATGGGTATCTGAGTGTGTGCGTGTGACCGAACGACGGCTGTGTCATTAGTAGCGGTGCTTCGGACAATGGACAGGGTTGAAGGAACGGTCTTTTTCAAAAGTAGTGGGCTGCAATTGGGTGGTTTGGGAATCTTTGAGCGCTATAACGGCTGGGGAGAAGAATGTGACGCACCAAAAACTTGGACTTCCAGATCACTTAGGCTCCACAAACTCCATGTTGTCACCTTGAGTTGGTGGAAAAGAAAAAGCGGTGGTGGTGAAGCATGGCAGGAGAAGGATTCCGGGAGAAGAATGCGAGGAAACATAGGATAAAATGGTCGAGGAAAGGAGACGGATAACGGACAGTAATGCAGCTAAAAACACCCGAGATACTTACAGATCGGGCTAACCCTGGCATGGACCTGATTACTCAGCTAATATATCACTCATATACAACTCATATATTATATTGCTGATGCGTTGCAAAAAAATTGCGTAGTGACAACCTTTTCGGAATCAGCTGTAAACTGTAACGCGGTGCCAAATGCATCAGTGGGCGATTCCGAGAGCGTAATCTTATGCAGGGTTGGAGATTTGGAGGTTCATGTCGCCTTTCAGTTCGAGGGATTGGAGGCTGCTGTCACGCGTCACGCGTCACGGAGGGAGATTGAGATTTGTTCCCTGCTGCAAATAGATGAGTCCGATTTAGTTAAAGGCGTAAAATTGTAGTACCTCTCAGCCTCAACCTCGGGAACACGTCCCCTCCCACTCGCTCACTGCCTGCGTTGGTTTTGTCGGCTCTGTCCTCTCCTCCACCCCCAAGCCCGTGGTAGCCAACACCTCACCCCCAAGCGCTGCGTCCAACAACTCTGCCTGCTTCGTCTTCTTCGCCGAGCCAAACTTCATTCCGCTCCCCTTGAACGCGGGGGACTTGGCTGCGAGAGTCGTGCCACGGATGATGGAAGAGGGTTCCACGTGCTCAAAGCAGCGGATAGGTGAGTATCCTGAGTTCCGCGGCCTACTCCGAGATAGGATGCACAAGAGTAGAAGAGTGAACCACCGATGGGGCGTCGTTGTTCGCGAAGCTGCATTTCGCGTCGATTGAGTTCTTCTTTTGCTTCCACCTCTTTGTTCTACGTGCACAGCGTTAGTTTAGTACAAGTGACAGAGAAGAAAACCCACCCTTGCAATTATTTCTCAAATCTTTTCCTCATAGCTCTCCATATCCGGGACACTCCTAACCAACTCCTAACCTTCATCAGCTCTCTGTAACCCCAACAACCTCGTCGAATGCTCGGAGCAGCTCAAACGCTTGCAGATACAACGAATCCCTCGACTGCCCCGCATACACGGCCGTTGATACGGTAAGCTGAGTCCGCACCTCTTGATTTGCATTCCCAACGAATGGAGTCATTGTTGAGGTCACGTGAGAAAGTGACCAGTCGAAATTCAAATTCGGCCCCCAGTTCATACTTTCCTCACCAGCTCATCAAAGGCCTGTTCGTCTTCCTCCTTTTCGCCAGCCTATTTGGTGAGAACGACCATTGGACCCTCTCACTCAAAAATGCAACCATCATGTATGTATTACGACCAAGTTCACATCCATCACATCCATTTCGCCGCTATCAAACCGAATAGCTGACGAAGCCCGAGGTTGCTGAAGTATTTCAAGCGAAGCATTTCACCAGTCCCTCACAATGCTCCTCCACCTCCGAGTCCACCTATGCGCACTCTTCCTAGCTCTCTCCCCACTAGCTTCCCTCGCAGCACCACCTTCTTACGACCACCCTTCTCAAACAGTCCTATCCCAAGCCGCCTTATCCGACATCCTATTCCGGGGCTTACCCATCCTCGGTTCGTCGCTTTCAATCCTCCCCTTAACTTACCCCATAAATCCTATGTAGGACCCGACAATGGATGCTCGAAAACACTTAAAACATGCGACTGGATGGCCAAGATCCCCGACAACACACCACTGGTCCGGATGAACCTCCCCGGGACACACGATACCTCTACCTGTCCTTCCCTCCCCTCTCTGCCTTTTTTCCTACATAGCTAACCTCGTGTACTTGCCTACTAGGGAACTACTCAGCCACAACACAAGCCTCTCTCACTGGGTACACGGGCCCGTAAGCTTTTCTCCCCCGCTCCCTGTTTCTGTTATGCAACTCACCCCCGGGCAGCCTCCCACCCGCCTACCTCTTCCGATGTCAAGAACGCTCGCTCCTTCAATCTCTTAACGACGGTATACGCGTGTTCGACCTCCGCTTCGCTTATAATCCAGGCAATGATACTATTGGGTTTTACCACTGTATGCCCCTTCTTCCCCTCTTCTCCCTACTCCGGACTTACTTATGTGTGTATGATTATATGAAGCTGCAGCACTGTTGGCACCCACCACGACCATGACCGACATCTTTTTCGGGTTGTATCAATGGTTGAACAAACACCCTACCGAGGCCGTCCTGGTGTCGATCAACCATGAAAGCGGGACTGGTACTCCATACGACGCAAAGATCCAGGAGATGGTGTATGATGTCATCAACAGTGATATTGGGAACACGTATTGGGGTCAGACAAGCGGGAGTGTACGTTCTCTTCTTCTTTTCTACTACTTCGGCTGTGTGGTGCTTAATGGGAAAACTACTATAGCTAGGAACGCTTGGACAAGCACGAGGAAAACTAACCCTCCTCCAGCGATTCACATTCGATCTCTTACCCGCATACAAGACCAAACGGATCGGTATCCAACTTGACCCAGGTCATTGGACGGATAACGGCAAGGCTATCGAGTTGGTGTATAACGCTGACAAGGGACTAACCGCGTTTATCGAGGTTTGTCTCCCCTCCCTTCTCTTCTCTCTTCATCTGAAACTAATCTCTCTCTGGTAGGACTACTACGACTCCTCCCTCCCACTCACATCTACACCCTCCCAGTTCATTGAAGAAAAATTCGGCGCAACGACGGCCCACCTTGGTAATGCGACCCTGTTTAATCCCGATCAGCTGTATATCTCGTTTGTGAGCGCTGCTGCGATTGTAACAGGTGTGGTCAAGGTGGATATGACGCCTAGGGTGGGTTGTGGCTTTTCTTTGTTGGCATTGGTTTTTTTTTGCTTCTGTCTTGGTTTCGTGGTTCTTCTTCCCGCTCGTTGTTTTTCTCTCTCCTGGTTTTTCTTCCCTCCTAGTTTCTTATCCCCCTCTTTTCCTTAAATCCCCTACTTTTGCTCCTCTCTCCCTTCTCCCGTCTTCACGTCTTGCTTGGTTTCTTCCCTCTCCTTTCTCTCCACGACTTCATGGGTCTTTTTTCACCTTGACTTTTGCCTTTTTCTCTGTCTCTCGATTTTTTTCTGTCCTCTTCTCTCTCGATCTCCCTTCTCCCCTCTTGGTTCTTCTCCTCCTCTCTCGTCCTCTTCTCCCCTCTTGAATTCTTCTCCTTTTGTCAGCACGCTGACGTAAACCCAAAGATGTTCGCCACCGGGAACGGCACCGACACTCTAGGGATGAACCAGAAGTTGCTACCGTGGTTAAAGGCGAGGAAGGGAAGCAGGTTTGGCATCATTAGTGAGTCCTTGTTACTTTCGAACGTCCTTCTTGCCTATTAGAGGGCCCTCGTTCTCGCTATTTTTTTAATTGTCCTTCTGCGTTTTATTGCAATACTAAGCTGACACGTTGAACAGTGCTCGACTTTTACGATGCCGTTCCGGGGCTCGTGGAGGCCGTTATTGGCCTTTGATAGACGGAAAGGGCTACATACTACATGCATACGGTCGAGATCGGTGGATCTGACACCCCTTGATCTTGCCCAGGTCTGTCTTGATTCAAAGGATGACGTCCACCCGCGTGGACTCCCCCCCCGCACACAACGCTACCCCCAAAGACTTTCCTGACACCAGAGCAAGATGGAGAAAATTCTCCGTTCTCGACTCTGCAGACGTTCAGGAAAGCCCTCTGTACACGCCTTGGTCGCTAAGATCTTGAGTGGACGTCTGCGTAACCGTTTTGGCAGAGAGCATGTGCCACGACGGGCGCCGTAGTACTTTGTTGAGCGAAACTAAGGCTGTTTGTTTGCAATTGACTCGGTTCAAGTAGCCGACGCCGAGCACGTTTCCGGCTGTTCAGAACGCTAAGGAGCACATTGGAATACCTGTTCGAGTCAGCACCTCTCAAAAGACATTCACAGCTCAGGGACAACTTACAAGCCCCCCAAAATGTACATTCTGGAAGATTAGACATCAGTAGCGTTCACACTAAGTTTATCGCTCGACTTACATACATGCCAAGTCGGTTGAGTGAACTTGGCGGAGATCTTAAATAGAAAATTAGATGAACAAGAGTCATAATCAGGGTGACGGCGGCGGTCTCCAAAGTTACGATAATGAGGCGATCAATAATGCGCTTCGTTGACTCAAATGAGGACTCTAGTTTTGCCTGCACGAGCTAGAGAAAAAGAGAAGATTAGAACCAGTCTAATTTACGCCAAGGAGAACGGGAGTACCAGAAATATCATAGTTGCAACGATGATGGAATCATACATCAAGGTCCGACATAACCAAAGCTTTTGAAGGGAAGGTGGAGCACTTTAAGCATTTTGGAGATCCAGCAAAAGAGAAGGTACCTCAGCTGAAAGGTCTAAAGTATATTGTCGGCTGGTTAACCTTTCAGATTGAGCGCACTATTATCAAATCTATGAATATTTTGCCGTGAAGTTATAAACCACGTACAGCTACTCCACGGGCAATCGCAGCTGCTAATTGCATAAACGCCACCTAGAAAAAGTTCAACACATGTAAAACAAACCGGGGAGGGCCGCCAACCAAGCAGATCATGCGTGAAATAATTCGATAGATTTTGAACTCTCTTTTCAGGGTCCATATTCGCCTATAAGGAAGTTGGAGGTCATGCGTGAAAAACGAGGTGTTATAAGAACTCACCAGGCAAAAAAAATCTGAACAATGCAGGATTCTATCAATGGCGAGGTCAGTACGTTGAAGGATCGGTTGAGTGGCAGACTCGCCTATCCCAGTGAGCCCAATAGACTTGAATTTGACAAAAAAAAAAAAAAAATCCCAGTGAGTGGTACGGTAATGACGGGAAAGACGGAAGTGCCAATGAAAATCATTGGGTTTCCCCATGCAACTATCAAGCTTTGCCAAGCACCCGAAGTCACAGCCATCGACCGCACCTGATCAACGGCGAGGCATACCCAAACTAATATTTGGATGAAGGCTAGACAACAAAAATCGCGATGATGCGCACCCGCTACTTTGATGAATTTCAAGTATTCATTCAGATGATCGGTGCAGAAGAAACCGTCTGAAAATCCGCAAGAGATGAGGATGTGTGGTGTTGAGAAATAGAGTGAAATAAACGTACAGCATTGCACCAACAATGACCCCGACAAAAACCAAGTGATGATAGTACCAATAAGCTGGACACAACCGTAAGCTTCTGCGTTGAGAATTTCACTCCCAATGACGAACGAGAGGCGCGGTACTAGTGTGTTCGACATAAATGCATGCCTAGTACGATTCCATCATGATCACCTACTCAGATATGGCTATCCCAGTATACGCGGGGCGGCCATCTTTCTAGTGGCGACGCTGGTCTTTAGACTGTTGAAAGTGGGGAGGCAGGATCTTACTTCGATGAATGGAGATTTGAGCGATGTTGTCTTCGAATCAACTTCGAATCCAACTTGAATCAATCAGCTTCGCGAATTTCATCATCCACCATCGGCTTTTTCCGAATAACGACATCAGTCTGATCAAGAACCGAGTGAATAAAGTAATACGATATGTAGCGGGGAACAACGGGCTTGTATTTAGGGGCCATAAAAAGGTGCACCTTTACCTAACTTGAACGGACCTCACTATTTATTTATGGTCGATTTCCCTGTTTTCGCTCTCGACGAGCAAGAATATTTGACTTCTTCTTCCGAACTCGGACTTAAAGCTTTGAAGACTCATATGTGGTAGACTTATCTTTAGTTCCGGTGTAATTTTAGGTAATGGTCATTTAAACACCTGGCCTGATAGCATCGCGGCGCATATCTTTATCCCGGTCGCAAGTTTCTGAACAAGTGATGCGCTCACTCTCACGTGTAGCAATCACTCTATCGTTACGTACATAGACATTTCCACACAACGTAATTTATCTATTTAGGTCACTCGTACATACCAACACCAATTCACGCGTTGTCATTCTAAAAAACTAATATAAGGCATCGTGATAGATTCCATCTGCTCCAAAAATCGGCCATCGCTGCAGAAGCAAAACCAGAGTCAAAGTGTATCATAATTTTTGGAATCGGTTTTCTGGTTGGCCAGCATCCAGATCAACGTGTAGGTCCGTAAGACCATCGGAACACGATGATCGATGCCTTTTGGCGTATTCTCGAATATGGAGCACGACCCTACTCGTTAACAATGAATGAAGTACGCGTTCCACACTTGACTTGATCAGGCATTTTGCACGTAGAGGCAGAACATAAACGTACGAGGAGATAACCGCAAAATACTCTGTCTGCAGAAATTTAGTTGTGACTTTGGTTCTCACACAAAGACACAATGTATCGGCTTACAGGGAGCGCGCGCACGACTACGACGTTGACTATTGAAAGGGCTTTTGCTCCCTCAGCACACAATGAATGCGTCGTTCCGACCGTCGCTTACCAAAAAGGTAGATATACATTATTATTCCTATGTTTGAAGGAAATTTAGATACATCTCTTTCAGTGAGATTCAATATCTTACCGTCGCGATATATGACGTGATGCAGATCAACACTCCCTCCTCGCCGATCTGGAAGGGCGGCTTATGAGCAAGCGGAAAACTAAATAATGTATGGGTCTTACAGGAAGCCATTCCAGGAATTATCATCAAGACCAGTATTACTGGGAGACAATTATGTGCGCATGTCGTACACCAAGATAGAAATGAATGCTTACTAGCGTCGTAAATCATGAATACAACCCAATCCAAGTACAGGATGTGATTCGCACTGGTGAGAAAGCAACCGACAAATTCTGGGTATGGCTTTGTACTAACTTAACACGGGGTGTCAGTTGCGGTGAGATAACAGTCAAATATGACAGATGGTGGACACACATTGTAGGTCGCGAAGGAAGATTCTCATCACATATATCTCCGCCACGGTTGTGAGCGTAATTAGAGATATTAGAAAGACGCCCATATGTCGATCTCGTTTCCACACTGCCCATACGCGCAGGGTCAAGATTACTAGGAACAGCCACCATTGGGGAGGTCAGATATTATAATATAAAATGAAGGGAATTCACACCTTCGGACAAAATAAAGCCAAAAATCATCAACCCTATGATATGATGAGCCAAACGACCACGTTTTAAACAAGAATGCGTACATCCTCGTATCATTTCAACAATACGGCAGCTATCTGGGTCGATGTTTACTGCCAATTGGTCTAAGAGAAAATGGTGAAATGTTGTAAAGAGAGAGAGAGAGGTATTCCATGTAGGCTACTCACGAGTCAGACAGAGAAAAATCGCGTCACAGAAAGGCAGATATCGCTGAATGATATAAACCATATTCACAAACCCCCATGGCGATGACCACACAAACTCAATCTCCATCCCCAACGTCAGTGAGCAGTCGTATACCAATAGCATCGCCGCCGCAACTGCGTCGAAGACTCATAAGCTCTAGAAGCTCGAAATCGTCCTAGGCTGCTTACCATCGAACGACTGTTTTTCTTCCGTTTGAGAGGAAGGAGGTTTTTATAGACAGTAGATACGCACCGTGGCAAGTTGTTCAGCAGCCACATAATGTATGAGCTTAGCGAGCGCCGCCATGTCTAGGGAATGAGTTCTCCTCAGTGCCTTGACGTGATATAGCTTGTCAGAAGAAGTGGGTGACACTAGCGTCTGTTTTTAACCCTGGTAGAACTTCGGAGAAGCTGCGTATCAAGGCCCGAGGTCAAGCCGAGGTACAACCCCAGACTGAACGTCGTTATGTTACCACCCCTACATTTCAAAAGTCAATTTTGCATAATTTGAATCATGAAATGGAGAGAAACATGGACTCAGTTTGGTTCTGTCACTTTGGCAAAAACCGATGCAATGAAAGATGATACGCGCCGAAGCCACTGAGCCCATGCATGCCGATTCGGGACCACTAAATATATGACAGCAGACTCCGAGGAGTTGAGGATCAACTCGTTCAAGGGCGAGTGTAGGATATGGGCCAGAAAGCCTTGTGTATGCGCTTTGTGCTGGCAGGTGTCCTTGAGAATTGATATCGATCGTGAGAACTTAGACTTGCAATACCATTTTAAGGCGAATCATGAGGGTCATATCGTCTCCACGCCACCATGTCGAAAGATAAGTAGCTAGCTAACTATGGTGCCCGTGATGACCGTTTTTACATCTTCCTTTTCTTTTCGGCTCCACAAGAGACAGTATTTCTGTCCGTTCCCTCTTCACAATTTCTTTGATCTCCTCGATCGGGAACGACGGAAGGAATGACGAGGGTGATCCTTTCGGACGCTTTGAATCCTCACAATAGAAGGTCCACATATCCACGGAAAGGAGGCGCCACTATGTACATGGGTGACATGTCTGATAGGATATGTCGAGGAGGACGTGTCGTTTTGCCTACGACGTGTCTGGAGAGGATGGAAGAGAAATGGGAATGATGGGAATGATGCCATCGATGCTTGTCGTATTGCCGTATTTCCTTATTTAGGGGGGGGGAGTCCCCTTGCCATCATTTACGTAGTAGATCAACTGATCTGACTTGGCTCAGCCAACGGTAAGGCTTCAGATGTTTAGATACTCTTTGCGTTCATCTTTTTCGCAGGATCATTACATGCCAATCGCCAATTGCCTGGCTCGATTATTCTCGGGCTGCCGCCTGATTCTTAATCTTCGAGAGCAGCCTGAGAGGCTTCGGACTCTTATCTTCACTGACACAGATGACGAGCCCAGAGCGGTGGATTAACTTTTGGGTCCCTCCGATGAGATGCTTGTGTATGACGATTTGTAATTTGGGGTCCCCGTCCGTTCCTAGTCTTTACGTCGGTGGAGTTTCACCTAGAAGTGGAGGATTGAACATGACAGACATGGAATAGGACTCGTCGGAATTGGGACATTTACAAATTCTTATAATATATAAGAAAGGAATTAATACAACCTTCGCAATTCTCAATCGAACACCCATAGAACATTTCCGTTTCTGCCTCGGTTTCCCTCCAGAGGGTTTCGTCAAAGAAAAAAAGGTTCTCGATGTAATGTAGTCGTCGTTATGTACATTGATCCTGTCCTCCTATTGAATACGCTGACTGTCATGACACCACTTTTCGAGTAAATCCAGGTGGGAAGCCTATGCATATCTATGCTGCCCAGCAGCGTAAGTAATATGAACAAGCGATATATTCACGCTCTAACCAATGACGAAAGAAATCAAGTCATGAAATCATTTAATATGCCCTTGCCTTCTCGAGTTCGATATCATCGTCGGTATTCAAACTGATGACGTGTTTCGGGGCTCTCAAAGATTCTTCCCTTACACCACCTCTCTCAAAAGCCGGCTGCTCAAAGTCCGACCCGTGTTTCCTGTAGCGTGGTAAACAGACAGACAGAACAATGGAATAGGAATCGTACTCGGGTCCGATGATAGTGATGAAGACGACGAATGCGGCAACTGCACCAATAAATATTCCTTGGACCTGTATCCAGAGGCGTCAATATATAGAGCGCTAAAATCCCAGCTAAAAAAAACACCCACCTTTGCGTAATCCGGAACGATTATCTTTTTGCCGTCCTTGACGATGGTAGTTGTTAGGTGTTGACCTCCAACTAAAATAACATTCCATTATACAGGTGTGTATCAGGACGGATTTTAATCACTTGCCAGTTTCAATTTGAGCCGAGGCAGCGGAGATCATCTTTAGACAAAATATTCGATCATGGAAAAACGTTGAGATTTGTAGAGCTCACATTTCCAAGCTGATATGCGACACCAGGGAAGGTAGCACGGAAAGCGGGCGGTGACATCTCTGCAAGCTGAATCGGAATCTACGTTACGTCATAATTAACTGGAGGAGCGATGTCTGCAGAGGTTTGAGAGTTACCACACCCCACGCGCCCTGGACACCAAATTGAAGGCAGAAAGCGCCTGCTGAAAGCATGACGAAAGTATTTGGCAGAATCCAGAGAGGGATGAATACTTAGTTGATGAATGAAGTGAGATGGCGGTGAAAGCGAGTCGTTTATATAAATCACCTCCGGCGAGCAAGACCATCAAACTATGCGATCTCAGTTTCTGCCATATAAATAACACAGGGTACTCACATCATCGTCAAGCGACGACCGATTCGCTGGCTGATTATTCCTGCGGTTATACCGCCTCTGTGGACGTGTTATTCCAACGTTCGAAGAAAAACTTGGAATACACACGAAATGGAACCCTGAAAGGCGACATCACATTAGGAGAGGTCGCGTAAAGTGTAAACGGCGAACTGACCAAGTTTCCGAATATGGTAGCAATTATTGCATCATGCGGGGTGAAGCCTTTCGTTGTCTCGAGATATGTCGGGTACAAATCCTATGAAGTGGAGCATGTCGGGTTGGACAAGAATGAGATGTGGCGACGAACCAACGTACCTGAGAACCATGAGAGAGGAAGTTGAATCCTTTACAATGAGGTCCACCGGTCAGAGATACAAAATCATGACAGGTAATGACGGGCACGTACCCGCCATAAGCAAAACGGCATAAATACATAACGCCCAGTGTTGTTTGAGCATTTCCTTAACATCTTTGATGAATGCCTTTGTCTTCTTCGACGTATCGGTTCCCCCGTAACGCTCTACCTCCCTTGCGCGTAAGACATACTCACTCTCGGGAAGGAGAGCGCGAAGGCATGCTGTTGTAAAGGATATACCACAAGCCGTCCAGAACATGACCCTCCAGCCCTGGGTTGCGTGCGGCACGATGAATAGACTGACCAACGCTGCGATGAGATACCCGCACGCGTAGCCTTGTTGTAAAACACCGCTAGCCACGCCACGAGCTTCAATGGGGAGGTTTTCGAGTGCTGTGGATGCTGCTAGTCCCCAAATTCCGCCCATTCCGACACCGAAGAGGGACCGAAGGGCGAGAAATTGCTTGAATGTTTGGACGAATCCCACACAGAGTTCGAGGGAAGAAATGAGAAGGAGGTTGCAAACTAGAGGCCATTTTCTTCCGTAGCGATCTGAAAAAATACCAAACACAATCTTGAAAACTCGTGAGCATCAACGAAAGATGGTAAGGGGTTAAACTAAGACGCACGGCGCCTACTGATCGGAATAAGAGCGTGAGGGTGATTGAAGTCGTCTGCGCCAGAATCGTTAATTGTAGTAATCAATCTTCGCTTGAAACAAGTTACAATGTCACGAGCAGACCTGTTAAACTGACGTTCGAGTCGGTCAATGCTGAGAGACACGGAGAAAAAGTCGATGGCATCGCATGTCCACGCCAACCACCTAATGATCATATGTAATTTAGCCACGGTCACGTGGAGGTAAAGCGATGTACCCAACAAAGAACTGAGCCCATTGAATCCATGTCAAGCCACGTAGAACAGTGAGTAGGTGTGTTTTTTGTCTCTGCTCTCTTCGAGGAAGTAAATTTCGTAAGAAGTATGGTGCCATGGCTGAACGTCGTGATCAGGAAGCTTGAAATTTTATAAACGGCCTTTGTGCACCTTCTTATCCAAGCTCAATTTTCCGTCCTCAGGCTTCGAATCGGAGAAATGCATTTTGACCCGAATTCTACCGTTACACGTACCAACGAGGTTGTACATCATAGGAAGGCAGGAACTCCGTGAGTTAGCTGATCAATTTTGCGCCTAATGACCAGAGATTCAAAAGTTTATTACTTGAATGAACAATCAATATTATATTTGACCCAGGGGAGCGGCGATACACTTAACACGCGATTTCCCTTGCGATATGCCAACGCAGCGGATTTTGAGAATCATTTGAGTGATGGTCTGGACTCTGGAGCATATGCTACCAGAATCGGATCACCACGTTTATTACTCAGACGGTTGGCCGCATACAATATGAGGGAAAACGGCTGTTGATGCTCCAACGTGGAGCATATCTGACGAAGTCCGTTTTCCCGGAAATTGAACTAAAGCAGCCAAAAAGCAGCGCCTATTTCTTAATAAGCGTTGGTAACCTGAGTATTGTATTTATAAGTAGTGGAGCTGTTGCAATTCGTCAACAAATGACCTCGCCATAACTTTCCGTGGTGGATGGAGATCAGGAGAGAAGACCGCGGTCTATTTTTGATGAGCGTCATATTCCGCTCCCGAATCCATGAGAACCGAAAGAAAATATCCTGGTCGATTAATCACTATAGATTGTGGAATGTTCCCCTTTCGACAGCGATGGATAAGAGATCTGTATGCCATCCCGTATTTTTTGTATCAAGAACTAGCCATCATCAATTCCAGGGCCAAACCGCACAACTTAACTTGTCTGTGAAGTCCTTGACCGATTTGAGGAACCGCGAGGCGCGGGGATCAATCTTCACGAACGTCTTCGCGAAGGGTCCCCGTTCGCCAGGACATCATCAAGGGGTTTTGAAACATACCCTTCAGTATTGACCAAATAGATATCATGTAGCATGAGATAGACAAGCATACGGAGAGTGGGGGGGGGTCGCGATTGGTCGTGAGATACGCCCCTACATGCTCCGCAATCTCCTCGGGAGTGTCGAGGTCATGGGCGTGTTGTTTCTTGAAAAAGTCGAATGCCTCGCCGGCCGCCATCATTGCAAATTCGTTTCGCCAGTTGCTGAGGCGAGACGAAATTTGGACGAAATCTATATGACGCCAGGTTAAGATGATAACATGTAGAAGGAAAAACACTCACCAGGCCACACCACGCATCGCTTTCCTTGACCGTGTACTCGCCGACGTTTTCCTGATGCAATTCAAATCAGCAAAACGTCCGATTGAACTTCATCAGCAAATCAGGGGAAATACCCTGAGCCATCGTAAGGTCCAAAATCGATCACAATTAACTACAATCATCACAATTTACCATAATATTTCGACTTCCCTCACAACGGCTGATGAGGCCTCATCATCGCTGCGTTTTTAGACAATCTCTCACAATATACAGCAAGATTTCACAATCTCGTGCCACTATACAATCCTTTGTTACATTGTGATTCATTTTGATAGATTATGAGGAATTTTCTTGCATTCTGAGCCTTTGGATTCAATGGTTTGTAGGGTTAAAAGATATATATTATGGCTACAAGATACAAAAACCAATGACTATGAGTTACAGTGGAAGCCTGAGCTAAGGGAAAGGGGAAGGAGAAAATTTTGAAGTAGCGAGGATTCTCAAGAGGTCGAACACTGAAAGGTAGTCCTACAGAATATCTAATATATAAAGAGAGGACGGTTGACGGTTATTACGTAATAGATCATGTAAGCAGCCTCTTTGTCTTTTACTGAGCCGCGTCAGCGGCGTTTCCCGGGAATGTCACACGGTGTGACCACAACCACAGAACATTTTGTATTGGTAGCTCCCAACCTCATTCTGTAATCGTAAGATCCTGCATTAATTTTTTGTGAGTGTTTTTGTGGTCACACCTCTCTGAGCAGCCTCAATTTCGCTTTTTCTGTACTATTTTTTACCCCCCACTTCATTGTTAGTGTATATTTCTCCTACTTTGAGATCTATGCTGATTAAATTTCAGGTGGATTTTAGTTGCTCTACAGATTTTCATCAGTGGCCTACTGAACTGTAATTTATGGTGCATGGTATAGTGTTGAAAAATCAAAAATTATGGCCAGCTTTGTACTGCTGACTGCAGTTACAGTACCAAATGTAGGACTATATAAGTGTGGATCTAAATGTAACTTTGATGATTTGGATTAGAATAAAAATTTGAATGAGGGCAGGTTAACTTTGATGATTAAGATAAAATGAACTGGGATTGAACATATGCACTGGGAGGTCCAGGGGGCTTGCCCTGACAAGCTGGCCAAGTGCAGCCAGGGCTGCTGCAGGTTAAAGTGTATTTTTGAAAATTTCAAATAAAGTGTAAGTACCAAAACAGGGATTAGTATAACTTTGAGAAACATGTACACCACAGCTATCAGATTTTTATGAGATAGTCCAAGGGACTTCCCTTTGGCAAGCTGGCCAACTGCAGTGAGTGCCAAACCATAGGTGCAGGTCAGAGCATAATTTTAAAATTTCAAATTTAATAAGATGAAAGTACCAGAAGCTGGGGTTTTAGTGGGTATGAGAGTAGGGTGGCCTCCAGGCTGCAACTGCTAGCTTTACACAATGTGGCTGCTCTGAGTCCCACACTGCTCCAGTGTGAGCCTGCCTAGCCACAATTCCTTGGGGTGAGTTGACATCCTTCCAACAGGGTGCAATCCCCTGTCCTTGATGCTTGCGTACAAGGATAACACTGTTAACTGTTGTATGCTACATAGCTTCACCAAAAAAAAAAAAAAGAGAGATTGAAAATGTGCACCAGAACTGGAATAAACATATGTACTGGGGGGGACAGCTTGCCTCAGGCATGGCCAAGCGAAGTGATTGCTGTGTCCAGGTCTAAGCCTAACATTGATGATTCAGATGAAAGATATACACTAGATCTGGAATAAAGAATATGTATCAGAATGGAGATTGAATATGTGTACCAGAAGTGGGATTAAACATGTGCACTGGAACTGGGATAAAAGATGTGTACCAAAACTGGAATTAAACATGTGTACTGGGGGTCCACACCATAGGTGCAGAAACTGTAACTTTGAGCAACATGTACACCACAACTGTTATATTAGTGGAATGCAGAGTTGACGTGGTGGCCACAACACTATGCTTTTTTTCAACACGCAACAACTTTCCTTAGTGAATCAACTCCAACAGGTAAATGCCCTCACTACAACTGACCATTGACACACCTGCTACAGCTTTGACTGAGTTTCAAATCCCTGATGGCCACATGGCATGCTCTGTACATACCAGATCTTTTACATTGAGGAACACTGTAAAATTCCCAAAATGTGTGAAAATTTCAATCTCTTTCTTACTGAATGGTATCTTTGTTATGTAGAAATTAGGTATGGCATCACATATAGAGGTAATTTAACAGGAAAGTATGTCTCAATTTGAAGTCTGCCCCAAGTCTGCCTGATTGGTTAGGCCCTCGAGACAGAAAGCGATACAAAGTTCAACTTTCACAGATTTTCTGTATTGTGGGATTTAGCAGACAAGTTGTCGTGACCCATTTTAGTGGCTGTGACATCAACTCTGCATTCCACTATTGTATCAGATAGTCCAAGGGCTTGCCTCTGGCAAGCTGGCCAAGTGCAATGAGTGCCACTGTAGGTTAAAGTGTATCTTTGAAAATTCAAATGAAGTGAAATAAAGTGTAAGTAACAAAACAGGGATTAGAGATGGGTACCAGAACTGGAAACAAACATGTGTGCTGGGGGAACAGCTTGCCTCTGGCAAGGCATGACTGAGCGAAGTGAGTGCTGTAGTATAAGTCCAGGTTTAAGTCTAACTATGTGTACCGAAAGTGGGATTAAATATGTGTACCAGAAGTGGGATTAAACATGAACTGGGATAAAAAATGTGTACCAAAACTGAGATTAAACATGTGTACCAGGGGGTCCAGGGGGTGTGCCCCTGGCAAGCTGTGACCAGCACTGGAGGCACGGCCAAGCGTTAGCAAGTGCCGCGCCGTAGGTGCGGGTCTAAAGCTTGTCTAATATATAAAGAGAGGACGTTGACAGTTATTATGTAATAGATCATGTAAGCAATCTTTGTCTCTTACTGAGCACGTGTCAGCGGCATTTCCCGGGAATGTCACACACTGTGACCACAAGCCACAGTTGGTAGCTCCCAACCACATTCTGTAATAGTAAAATTTGTATAGTGCTGCATCAAATTCTTTGTGAGTGTTTGTGTGGTCACACCTCTATGAGCAGCCTCAATTTCGCTTTTTCTGTACTACTTTTTACCCTCCACTTCCCTGTATATTTCTCCTACTTTGAGATCTGTGCAGATTAAATTTCAGGTGGATTTTGATTGCTCTTTGATGATTTGGATTAGAATAAAAATTTGGATGAGCACAGTTTAACTTTGATGATTAAGATAAAATGTGTGTCAGAACTGGGATTAAACATATGCACTGGGAGGTCCAGGGAGCTGGCCAAGTGCAGTGAGTGCCATCAGATGAAAGTGTAACTTTGAGAACATGTACACCACAACTTTCAGATTTGTATCAGATAGTCCAAGGGGCTTGGCTTTGGCAAGCTGGCCAAGTGCAGTGAGTGCCACACCATAGGTGCAGGTTACAGTGTAGTTTCAAATATTTAATAAAATGTAAGTATGAGAAGTGTAATAAATATGTGTACTGGGGGGACGGCTTGCCCCTGGCGAGGCATGACCAAGTGAAGCGAGCACTGTGTCTGGGTCTAACTCTAACATTGATGATTCAGATGAAAAATATACACCAGAACTGGGATAAAGAATGTGTATCAGAATGGAGATTAAATACATATATTAGAAGTGGGATAAAACATGTGCACTGGAACTGGGATAAAATATGTGTACCAAAACTGGAATTAAACATGTGTACCGGGGGGTCCATGCTATAGGTGGAGAAAGTGTAACTTTGAAATATGTGCACCACAACTGTTGAATTTGTATACAATACTGTACTATTTTGACAAAGTGTTCACGATTTTTGGAATTTTTTCACGCCGAGATGGCTGAAAAAAAAATTCTTTTGATTTAAGACAAATTAAAAAAAATAGTTTTTTTGTCGATGTGATGTGTGATGTGAACACTTGGTCGAAATAGTACAGTAGTCCAAGGGCTTGCCTCTGGCAAGCTGGCCAAGCGCAGCAAGTGCCACCATAGGTGCAGGTTAGAGTGTTTTAAATTCAAATAAAATGTAAGTACCAAAACAGAGATTAGAGATGTGTAGCAGAACTGGAATTGAACATGTGTACTGGGGGGACAGCTTGCCTCTGGCAAGGCATGGCTAAGCAAAGTGAGTGTTGTACTATCAGTCCAGGTCTAAGTCTAACATTGATGATTCAGATAAAGGATGTACACCAGAACTGGGATAGAAAAGTGCACCAGAACTGGGATTAAATCTGTGTAACTTACCAAAAGTGGGATTACAGCTGATTGCAAAACAATAGGCCAGTTGTGATTGTGGTTGCTCCTCAGTGGTTTGTTTGTTTGGAAGGCTATAATTAGAAATGTAAATAAATTAGCAGAAGAAAGCACAGCGGCTCCTGTTGCCATTTGTTGTTTGGGCCAGGTTCCATGATGCTCCATCAATGCACAAATAGACAGCTGAAGATCAGTGGCCTATCGTTTTGCAATCAGCTGTAAATATGTGTACCAGAAGTGAGATTAAACATGAACTGGGATAAAAAATGTGTATCAAAACTGGGATTAAACATGTGTACCAGGGGGTCCAGGGGGCATGCCCCCAGCAAGCTGTGACCTGCACCAGAGGCATGGTCGAGTGTTAGCAAGTGCCACGCCGTAGGTGTGGGTCTAAAGCTTGTCTATATAGAATGGCACAATGTTTTTAGCCTTTTGATGGCTGAGTAAGGCTGACTCAGCTGAGTCAGCAATGACAAATCTTATATAATCACTCTGAACCTCACATCTTTATATTGAGCTTGACCTCATCTACCCTCCTCAACTCCAGGTAAATATTTCTCTGTATTTTATACATATTTTAAAATGCTCTCTTGCTTGAGAGGCCAGTTTGTAGGCACATACATAGAGGTGTAAATTCTATTTCTGTACAAACTCTGCTCTACAGTCAGAAAATATTTATCATTGGGTGGGTCACCTATCACAATTTTATAGTTGGTTGATCTAATCACTTAGTTCTGTAATCTATCCATCATCATGTTTGGGTTTCTGTTTTCTTCCCCTCTTGCATGTGCAATATTTAATTTCAATTCACTCCAGGGAGAGATTGGGAATGTTACTCTAAACATCCCTGCCTATAATCTTTGGAGGCTTATTATCACATCTGAGAGTATGTTGGATGGGTTTGTTGTTTTATGTCAGAATTTTATCCCTTCACCCCAGCTCTTCATTGGGGAAGTGTAATGCCAATGTGGATATGTGCACCTCTCAAAGCTATATATTGAAGTATTCTATCTAATTCAATATGTGACTGGAAATTCAAAGATTAGTATTTTTGTAACTCAGTAAGTTGCTCATAGTTTTATTATTGAAGATTCTCAACAGGCCTGGAGTTATATAGATTTAATAAAATGTATAAATCAGAGAGTTAAAAATCTTCCAGATAAAATGGGGACTTAGGGAGCTGATTTGGGAGAGGACATAGGAAGTTCCACAAATATAAGTGAAGATTTAGTCAATTTATTCCATGCAGATGAGAAACCCAGGAAGAAATAATCTAATTTCTCAAAACTACTAGAAGTCTATAGTTTCTGGCCCAATAGGATTTTGGGAAAGCTGAGGAGGTAAGGGAAGGTCATGTTAGAAATATATTTATTGTATGTGTTGGTGTCTTATAGCATGACAAGAGAGGGTTCACAGTACAAAAATATGAGAAACATTGGGGCATGGTAGAGCAGTAAGAGATGTTAAATCGGAAGTAGTACCATTTATAAAGATATGTAATAAATATTCAACACTCTGTTTAATGGGTAGTCAGAACCAATTTGAATTTGCAAGATGGTATGTCAAACAACTGGAGTTAGAGTGCCTGCCCCCAGCATGCTATGACCCATGTTGTAGGAGCAGCCAAGTTATTGGCTATGTGGAAGCAGGGTTTGGGGCCCAACACACTGCACTGTGGACTTGGCACATACAGATATCAGAAAAATTGCCACTGTGATGCAAATTTTATCATATATGTAGATGTACCAGTAATTTACACCAACATATAAAGATTAGAATAAAAAATGTACATGGGGATTGGGATGAAACATGTATACTGGAACTGGGATTGAAGATGTGTACCGGGGGGTCCAGGGGGCTTGCCCCCGGCGAGCCGTGACCTGTGGTGAAGGAACAGCCGAGCGCCAGCGAGCACCGTGCCATAGGCGTGGGTCTTAGGCTTGTATCAATCAATAGGGGAACCTTGTGCATGAGGTAACATAACTCACGAGGCGACAAGAAGAGAACTACTTGCTGTCCCCCCCAGAAGCGTGGCATCTGGATGGGGGTGGGGGGTAGGGGGTGGAGAAGATGAGTGTATAAGGGGGGAGCCCGCTGAATATGACCCGGACTGCTGACAGAGTGAAGGCGCCCTCCAACATGTCATAATCCTAGATGAGATCCGTTAGGGGGGGTTTCAACTGTGCGAAGGCATGACTCACGAGAGGGTAAGACCAGACTCTGCCAGACTAGAGCAGCACATACACCAACTCACAGATGCGGCCAACATCAGTGAGAAGGTAAGACCAGACCAGAGAAGCACATACACCAACTCACGGATGCGGCCAACATCGGTGAGCAGGTGTATGTGCAGACTCAGGCCTTAGGGAGCAATGGTGGGGAGTTGAAACATTAGAACGTTAGAGTCCCAAAGTTCAGAAGTTCAACATCAGTCACATGGCACAATGTTCCAAACTCAGCCGATGGGCACATGACTGCGCCCAAAGTTGGCCCAAAGCTCAGGCTGACTTGCTGCCCAAAGTCACAAAATGCACTGGCAACAGCAGATCTATCCAAGATTTATCTCTTGATCACTTGAGAACTTATCGAGAAGTGTTTGCCTTCGTCAAGAGCTGAGAAGGCTGCAATCTGATAATTTCTTACTTCATTACACTGTCTCACAATTGGAAACAAATGATATATATATGATTTTGTCCAGCTACGAGACTACAATAATCTGCATGCATCCTTGCGAGGCACACACAAGCATTGCAACAGATTGTGAGCTATTGTGAGGGATTGTGATCTTCCAACATCTGACTAATATCTTGTGAGAAATAAAAGGTCATATCGGAACTTCACCGATTTACTGAAGTTTGAGCAACTTTCGCAACTTTGCAAAGTTGTAAAGTTGCCAAAGTTCAACAACTTTGTAAAGTAAGGTACAATAACTTTGAAAGTTATCAAGCAACTTTGAAAGTTGTTCGATAACTTTCCATAGTTGGGAATCCATCTTTCAGTAGCACTTTGGCACCTTTGCTTGTGTATTTTGATGAACTTATTTAGTGACTTTGGATCTCAAGAAGGATGGCATGGAACAGGAGAAAGGAATAGCATTGATGTTCAGTATCTAATACAGTAGTTGTGTTCTAGATAAAGCCCTAGCTAGACGCTAATCCGGAGGCTTCTCGCCTACATCCATCCAGTTGCCACTCTCGACCTGCACACTGCCGCTATCCTATGGAGTTCGCTCGGTGGTCTGCAGGAGCTATGAGATCGCACCTGGGCATGGTCATGGTTGCGGATGTGCATGGTTGTGGACATGTTGGCATGGATTTGTTGTGGTTGTGGTTCGCGATGGTTGTTGTGAACACATTGTGGTCGTCTTCGTGGTCGGCGTGTCTTGGTTGTGGTAGTGGTGGTCGTATAGTTCATTTCGTGGTCTGGGGGAGCAAGGAGACACGTCAGTATGTCATAAATATGAGGGTGAAACGACGTTGTGGTCCCCCGCACCAATGCTCCATCCTCCCAAGCTCACGATGAAAGGCTGGATTGGCGATGAGAACTATATAAGAAGAGAAGTCAAATCAATAACCCATCCACGAGGGAGGATATACAAGAGGAGACACACACACACAGATGAGGAGTAGGACACATCATGTGAGAAGTGACACACCTGGTAACAATGTGTCATTCTTCGTGATTTCGCATTTTCGAGTGTGCTGTGCATCAATTCGAAACTCCGCCACAAGTTACGAGTGTGATGATCATTGTGACGACTTGGTCACGACCGCTTTCTCATCACCACCACCACCATTTGCTTGCCTGTGCCCCACCACCCCCCTCGCTCTCTTCCTGCCCATCTCCCACCCTCGCTATGGCTGACAAGGACCAAGAGAACGGTCATGGGCTCTTTCAGGTGGTTCCCACTTTGTTCAGCCCCGGATTTTTGCTAACAACCCACCACCATCACCTCCCACACCCTGTGCCATGGCAAACACGACCACCACCCCCAATTCAACCCCCTCTCGCAAACCCAACCCTCGGATTACGACTAATCACCCATGAAAATGCCCACAAAACTACCCATCTACCAACGGCAACAACCCAGCGCCCAGGATAAACCACCCACGCTGACGGAATCGGCCCATGAAAATGCCTGCACAGACAGAATCCAGCGCTGAGGCCCATTGACGAGGACCCAGTGCCACTTGGCAAACCAACAGAGGATACAGCACCCACTGTGCAGCCAGGTGTGTAAGCCACGCCTCCCCACTAACCAACCCCGAATGACAGCAAAAATGCCAGCGCCCTTTGCGATGAGGCCACCACTGTGTCCCACCCGACCATGGCCACCAAGACTACATACTGACACCCAGATGCGCCAATACTAGGCCGTCGACAGTGAGGATTCTTGGTGCGTACATTCCGGGGTCGCAAGGTTGCTCCCTCTCTTAGAATTTATGTATAACTTTGTATAGTAAGTAGTTTAAGGAATAAAACTTATAATCCTAAATTTTACTTGAGCATGGAGAGGCAGATTTTGACTTAACCACAGAATCTTTGGTGTATGATACATAGCTAATTTCCATCACACATCAAATTTTCATTTTCTGACAATCCAAAAAGGGCGGAATCAATCGAGATAGTATGGTATCATGCGGATAAGATTCGACACACCTTCCTGAGCAAGTGACCGACATTTGCCATCAAATGTGTTGAACATTGGACAGGTGTGTCGTTCTCCATCACGTGTGTCGTGTCTCATTTCTGTGTGTGTGTGTCGACTCTTGTCTGTCCTGTCTGCGAGGGAGACAGGAGAAAAAACTTACACAGTCCATGCGTCTTACGGCTTCGTTTCCCCCACTGCATGTTTCACAAGAGTTGACTCTCAGTAAAAAGCAAAGTCAAGCAAAATCACACAAAGTCAGAGGTCACAAGGGGGCACCAGCAATAGAATGCCGGACCGGTACCCAGTTAGTTAGTCCAAGGTCCAGTCCAAAAAAAAAAAAAAGGAATCTTCGACAACTTAGTTCCCAAATCATCATAGAACATCATATCAGCTTACTGTGACCCAGCCGGACTCCCAGCTATGCTAACTAGCATTGTAGAGTCCAAATAATAGCGGTTTCTGTTGTACATAATCATGCTTATGCTATAATTATCTTATCATGAATCACAAAAATGTTTTTCAGATTTTTGACATGAAAATGGAACCAGCAGAACCTGCAACGCAATCTCAGGTAAGTAGTCAAGCATCTGTCAATCAGGTTACTTACTGGTCATCTTGACAGGGAAGTAATATGGCACCAATGTCAGAGTCGGTTCTTGACGCCAACGGATGCGCCCTATGTCCAGAGTGCAAAGTACACGTCCACTGTGGCAGTGTTGGGATCTCGAACCTCACAATACATCATATGGGTTCGAAAATCTGCTGTGAAACAAAAGTGAAACATGATAAGGATGACAAGAAGAAGAATTCTTCCATACTCACCTTTTTCAAATGACCGAAAGCGGCTCCTGTGCCTTCAAAAGTCATGCCTACAACCATAATCAGTAACCGTCAACCGACGAGTGGGGCAAGTTTAACCTCTTCCCCCCTGACATTCATAAAATGCCACTCTCTGGACAGCCATTCAGCAAACTCATCGCGAAATTCCAGTCTCTGATCAATAACCTACCAGAGAGTGTTCCTGAAGTGTCGGCTGATGATCCCTTGTTTAGTACCATCTACAATGTGTATCTTTGGAGCAGGCACCTCGATCTTGGGTTTGCACGTCTTGTAATGAGTCTGTGCAAGGACGAGGAGGGAAGCGCTCCAGAAGATGATGTCATATTACTATATTTAGACCGGTGCCTGATTACGTAGTTAGTTAGTCCCCTCAAAGTCCAGGGAAAAAAAAATTGACCCCAGGTCTTTTTTTTAAATCCCAGTGCCCCCTTGAGAGGTCATTCAGATGTATGTCAGACATCTGTAATATTCACACCACACTTCCCTCAAACTTCCCTTGGCAACAAATGGGATGTGAGTTTAGTCCTACGTTAGTATCAACATTGTCATAAATTATCTATGCATGGGTATGCCAAGAATTTCTGTCTACACTGAGGCTGTGCTGCTTTGGACTTAAGAGCTCGTAAGACTGAGTTGCAAGTCACATGATTGCTTTGTGTTGGCATTTGAAAAGTTTGTCTTCACTTCAACTTTGTCACTCCGACGACCAGTCCCACATACTTTTCCTCGACTGCTCGATTGACAATTTTGGTGAACCAGCTATACCCGCAGACACCCTCATCGATGGATTCCGCTCTTTTGCGGATGCACCCGACACACTCGTGGCTACCACCATCATGAGCTCCCTCAGTCAAACGCAAGGACTGTGTGTTGTCCAACATGCTGCCACTGCTTCCGGCTTCCATATGTTACACAAAAACATAACAGCGACTCAACAAAGAGCTAAGTTGGCATCAGGCTTAATGACGATGCACGCTGACGACGCTCTTCGGTTGCAGGTCCCACCATCACCACCACCAAAATATGGCGGCCACAGAAACTCCTTGCCCAGCAAACAACAACCATATTCTCGATGCCTCCCGAATCCAAATGGCGCCTTCATCAACTCCTTCTCTTCCCTCCCCGTTTCCTGTGCAAATGTGAATGGCAACGACTCGGACTCGGATGTGGAGGATTTGATGGGTGTTGGATCTGGTGGGGACCACTCGATGGTGTCGTTGGAGCATTTGAATGGACACAACATGTTGCAGAGGGCCTTTTGTTGTTCCTCACCCCCTCATACTCTAGGCCTACTACATGTGTCTTGTAAAGTAGTCAAATATAATCTGAATCAGCCTATTTCCTATTCTAAACTGGGCCCAAGCATTAATGACTGAGGTATGACTATTGTACGACAAGTACATGACTGACTGTGAGACTAATGTATGACTATTGTACGATGAGTACATGACTGACTGTGAGACTACTGTATGACTATTGTACTACGAGCATAGTCAGAAACGCTTAAACAAACGACATTTAGTCAGACACCCTCTAATTGGTGACTTTCTCGTGACTAACATCTGACTTCACTATTTACTGAGGTTGACTGCTGACCAAAGTATAAAATAGCTTGCCATGATGAGTGTTAGATTTAGACAAAATACAGAGATTAAAGAGAAAGATCTGTACTGTGAGAGAGGACTACTGTGCTCCAAACTCGGGTTGTTGCTGTTGAGGCGAGATATGGTGAGCTGTCCAGAAAGACAGTAATTTCAAGAAGAGTTTGCAGGAACAGATAAACAAACACTTACGAGATATATCATTCTAAGCGGCTAAGGCGCGGATTGCAGGTTGCCATCTGAAAGCAAGACTTGAAGTCTGTGAACAAGCAGAGGAGTGGTAGGGGCACAAGAGGACCGTGAGGGTGAGACAGGCCAGGAAGAGGGTGCGTGGCGACCAATGAGCGAAGAGAGCGAACAGAAGAGCTGGTGGGGAAGGAAGAAAGAGTGTGCGAACACCGAAAATTTCTCTTGAACCAAGGTCACGTGAACCCGTGATCACGTCATTCTCATCAGGGCCGGGCAATTCAACTTGTGCAAAAACAAACAGCATGCATCTTCTTGCCAAACCCTACACAGGTACATTACTTCGTTCCTCTATTCGCATTTGAGGACTTACTTTGGCTGCTAGATATAACCTTGCTTGCCATCGGATTCAGCTCTCTGCGCACACTCCACCCTCACATGCATTCCGCTCAACACGAGGATTTACGGGTGAATAGATACGCGATCAGACGAACAAAACCAAGATAACACGTACATGAAAGCACAACAATCAAACCCAATGCGTAAATGCTATGGGAAGGATGCAGGAGTGTGGGAAACGAGTGGATACGCTATGGACAGCTGGCGTTTCGCATTTACGAACTGGGATAGGGTCGTGAGGAATGAAAGAAGGTCATGACAGGTGAGTACTTACATTGCTTCGTCCATCATGCACAGTACTGATTGTTTACCCTCACAAGCAGTCTGCTCGACACAGACAATGATGGGTGTTCACAGGTGTATCTGTGACAAGGTGCTGTTACCAAGGTATCGGAGGGGAGTATTCATGGCGATAACTCCGAGACGGCAGGTGATCTCGGGAACATTCACGACTTGTTGGGAGCATAAGAGAAGACGGTTGGCCAAGTCTAGAAGAAAGACACATCAGTAAGGTGGTACGGGTGATATGTTTCCCTGCTCACTGGCATAGAAGGAGGAGCTGTGGATGCCGACATTTTGGAGGAAGTCACTCTCGCGAGAAAACCATGTACATGCAATGTACATGAGATAGCCTTCTAAACTTGTAATTTTATAATTTTTAGCCTCCTTTCAAAGTTTTAACTCCAAAGTGAAAGACATTCATAAGGTAGTTCAAAGAGTAGAAATCAAAGTCAAAGATGTATTCTTGAAGTGAAAGTTCATGGTAAAGTTGAAATAGTTGCTCAAAGTTGCTAACATCAAAGTCTAAGTTACCAAAGTGTAATTGGACATTTTGCTGATTCGGAATAGGCCTATAGGCCATACAACTACTCCAACAAAATCCTTTTTGGGCGAAGGCTATACCCGACCATGACTTTACCGTACCTTCCCCAGCTATGCATAATGGCCTAACGGTGTGACGGCTCACACACCTGGACAATTTTCCAGAACTGTGGACCGTGGTTCAGACAGAAAGCCTGTTCGATTCAGGACTAGGTCATTAAGTTTGGTGGCAACATTTTTTAATTCAATGGCTTGCCTCTAGTACTCACCTGGTCTCTAGTTTAACCCACCTTCTCCAGCTACTGATAACGACCTAGTGGTGTAACGGTTTGCACATCTACATAATCTAAAGCACTCCAGCCAGTTTCAGCTAGAGAGTTCTCCGGAGGAGGTCATCGATTCGGCTTTTGAGACCATCAAATTTCAATGTCTTGACTTTATCTTGTCTCTACCTTTACCCGACCTTTGGCATGTTCCTCTCACCTAGCTCAACACCACCTGGGGAGATGGGGTCTCAACAGCTGACTGCATCGACCAGTTCGAATATATTGGCTTGCTCGCCCTCTGAAGTTCACACTGGTGGCAATTACCAGGGCAGTTTATGGTCAACTGCCTTAAAGGCAGTTGTCTGGCAGTTGTTCAGCAGTTGACTTTCATCAGGCGAGTTTACCACATTGCGTTTGTTTGTAGGCTGTGCCAAAGAGTCCGACATCAGATTTCGGGCCCATTAGATTCCTGTTTTTCCTGCTTCGACATCTTCAGCTTTCACCAACTTCTGTTTGCACTCAGATGGAACAGAGGAGCAGAGCAACTTCAAAGAGGGGACCCATGAAGTGGGAGGCCTGCAAGGTATGTCATATTACCAATGTGACTTTTATTGTGGAACTAACATTCACTCTAGATACCAGTATTGTGGTGCATATTTGTCCATACTGTGGGGGTCACCCAATGGCCCATCACCCCTCCTCACCATCCCTCCATCACCCCAGCTAAGGCCCCCAACTCCACCCACCCATGTCGTAGCGTTGTCGCACCACATCAATCGACATCAGTTCAACATCTGCAACATGTTCAGGGCTGCACACATTGGGGTGATGGCAGGCACCGTTTTCGGAGTCAGTCACATTGTGTCCTTTGTTCTTCGACGTGACGCGTCGTGGCACATGGCCTTTCCTCTCTGTCAATTTCGCATTTTTGACATTCCTTCCCTCCCTCTTCTCATCACCGATTGCGATGCCTGACAATGACATACCAATGGACCCTCCAGCTTCCTCACCTCCACCCAATTCACCAACTCTTGCCAATACTCATGGCAGTACCTCCAAACGGAAGTGATTGTTGATGCCGGCCGAGGCTGGCCTGTCAAGGACAAAGAGGTCTAGAAAGGGTGTTGTTCCAGCTTGCTCTAAGAAGGGTAAAAGGCCAAGTGACTGGCACCTCACAAAAGGGGAGGTCCAGCAAAATCGGAGGCAACCAAGGTGTGTAGATCTATTGTTTTCAATCTAATCCTATGCTCATATCCTTCCAGCTAGCTCTTCAAGTCCATTGTCGAGCACTCTGGCAGTTACCAAGCCAGACTTCAGTTCCTCTGAAAGTCACGCTTGCTGATAGAGCTCACTATAACTCCCGTTTCTCTTCTGAGTCTGCTATCAAATCCTCGGTTCACACCAGCCTTGATGCCAATTCTGTTGACATCAACAAGGCTCAATATAGGGTTCGACAGCTTCTGGACTCTCTGTCTGACTTGAATAGCACCACAGCAAATCACATCCAGCGCATTGATGAGAGTTTTCTTTGTCTCATGTTCAGGACCATCTCATTCTTTGGGCTTGCATGCTGGGCTCCTGATGTTCTCAGTCAGGATCCTAACTCTATGTATAACTTGCTCCATGAGCACATTGCTCTTGTGACCTTCGAACAGGTTGCCGCTGGCTTTGGCTATTCGCATCTTGGGATTGATCTGAGCCTAATTTGCAATTTCACTCTCATGCGAAAGCTCTATTGCAACTTTGTTTATTCTTACATGCATGGCATTGCCAAATCGGAGAGTAAGACTCCAGGGAGCGTTGTGAAATCGAAAACAATGACAAATGTTTGGAAGTGACGTAAAGAGGTATTTTTTTAATACTATCTTTATCTGCAGCTAGCTCACCACTGGGGAAGCTCTCTGCAGGATGAGTCTGTATTCTAAAGGCACAGGGATTTAATGAGCGGACTGTTGATCTTGCCAATGAGGCTGAGGCTCATTCAGACGATGAGGTTGCGGAGGGGGATTCAGGCTCTCAGCTCACCTATCACATCAACATTAAGGATGGTCGCTCAACTAAAGTGAAGTCATTCTTTCGGATGCTTGATTCTCAGCGTAGGTGCTTGGATTGATCCCAAGCAAAGCGTCGAAATTGCAGGTGAGTTTTTTAGCGCTATTCTTATTCATCTTCATTCATCTATATACCAGGGCAGAGCATACTCGTGAAGACCCTCTCACTCCTCTTGAATCAGAGCTCTTCGCCTTGCCAAAGTTTACTCCAATTGACTGGTTTGACCCAGGCTACTGGAATACCACCTTAACTGTGCATGAGTGTCTTGACTATATAGAGCATGGCGTCCACATTGGCCTTCCTCTCGCAGAGGATTGTCAGACCTGGGAGCAGTGCAGTTTATGGAAGAACCTACTGGTGGAAGAGTTTATGGAAACATATGGAAATGCAGTGCTGGCACTGTACAAGATGCCTACAGCAGAAGAGGTTGAGCAGCTTCGACAGTGGGGGGAAGAACTTGAAGAGTTGGACTTGGAGGCTCAACTTGGGGATGAGGGATCTGGGGATGAGGGATCTGGGGGTGAGTAAGGGGATTTCCAACTTGTCAGGTATTGTTCTCCACATTCACAATTTGTTTCCTTGTTACATGCCTATCCTTTTATTTATTTTTCTTTCCCTCATCATACATGTTCATTTTTCCAACACAATTCTACACATTTCCTATGCTTCTTATGTTGTCACCTCTCATCATATGCCCTCTATTCCTCTTTGTCATGCATGCCTATGTCCCTCTTTATGTACAGGTTATGAATACAACTCTATGCTTATGGATATGAGTGCTACCATCGTCCTCTATTCAAAGCCCAACAAATAATTATGGTTTCTCTTGGAATGCCATATGTTCCTGATGGGCGCCAGAATGTTGTAAGATGGGTGATAAGGTGGACTGGCTGTATGATCATCAGCTGCCTAGAGGGAACTGCGTCAACAATTTGGCTCATAAAACCTGGAAAATGAACAAATGGAGCCTGTGCCTCCTCTGAATTAGGCAGCTGCTGGTGTGGGCGAACAATGAAAAATGTGTGCATGGCTCCCTCAAGTGGGATGTGCCAGATTGCTTCAATAAATCCTGTATCATGCTCCTGTGTATGAGGATTGCGAAACTGGATAGCACTGTTCCCTTCATGTGATGCTGACAGCTGAAAGTGTGATCCCCTCGGTGCACCTGGAGAGGGAGTTCAACCCTTGGAGGAAGGATAAGAGCATTGGAAGGATGGGGAAATGCATCGTAAGCTCGATATTGGTGTCCAGTAGCCTGAAGGTAGACAAGGAGAGCATCATAAGCATCCCGTGGAAGATTTGATGCCTTTTTGAAAACTGCTGCCATTTCAGCAGAGTCCAGGGGAGTGGGTGAGAAATCTGAAGTTTTGACAGCTGGTTGTAAAATATTTGCAAGGCCATTCATTCTACCATCTTGTAGTCCATCTTGCAGCAAAGCATCCGATATTGAATGTAGTGACCAGTGTATTCATCAGCACTGGCATTAGAAGTCTTGAAGGATGATAGTATGTTTGTGGCTGCAACAAGATGGTGAAAGGATTGGAGATGTTGGTGCTGAAGATTTGTCATTGTTTCAGAGTGCCAGAACTCTGGAATTATAAGCGGAAAGATACAGCTGAAGAGCATAAGGTACTCATGAGCTTTCAGCTTCCCGTGACTTGGTTCTCCAAGGTTTGTTGGAGGTCGCTGTGCCCATGTTGGGAGAGTAACATTAGAAATGCAGTTTCGAATCGCTTGAAGCTGTGCATCCATGAAGGTAAAGTGTTCTTTGGTGTCAGGAATATAATCTGGATCTCCAGTAACTTCATCATCCTCATCCTGCATGTCAAATGCATAGGGATGTGGTTCATCTTGAGTTGGTGTTCGAGAGAGTGTTGAAGATCGGCCAGAATGCTGGGATGAGAATGAAGGGTTTTGGTGGAGTGGTGCTGCTTCTGCCTCTGCTGCCTCTCGATGTAACTCATCAAGCTCACTTGCAGACTCAGATACATCTGTTTCAGTCCACTGTTCCTCCTCGTCAATTCCCTGACCAGTATTCTGAGAACCTTCTTGTGGCCCAATGGCCCACAGAACACAGAGTTGATGTTTTAACACTCCTTCCTGCCAGTTGTGCATATACCCAAGAAGAACATGTTTAACAGGATCCCAGTAAGGCAGATGGTGAAGAGGAGTCCACCGCACCCCAGTAGATTGAGCCTGAGCTTTGCGACCAGATTTTGTTGCTGTGTTCAGCCATACTTGAGCCTGATCTCATACTTGTGCTCAATCTGGTCTGCGGTACAGAGGCAAAAAGAACAGAAAAGTGTGGCTGCATGAGCCATAAATCCTCCAGCCTTGTGACTTGCCTCTATATCAGAAATAAGGGGTGCAACTTTTATCTGAAACCAAACACCAGCAGGATGTCGAAATGTAGGAAGGCATTGACCTGGAGGAGTGGCATATTTGAGAACAGAATCAATGAGGGGTTCAATAATGTGGGAGATGGTGATCATATCTGGTGCATTTGGTGGGGGAGTGAGGCCAACAATAAATGTGTTTTCAGGCAGATAGCGCAAGTGTGGAGGAAGATTCAGACAATAAAGAACAATGGCACCACAAGATGCATGCTTTCCTATTATAAAAATATAAAATCAATATATGTGAAATAACACTGAAATATTTCTGACATACCAGCAATCTTGTTTGTAAAAGGATTAAACCAATCAATATATATCCCAAAGACCAGATGGCGAGCAGTAGAAAAAAGGCCTGTCAAATCTCGCCAGGCAGGGCTGTCATGAACATCATGCATATCTCCACCAAGTGCAGCTGTAGAATTTCCACATTGCCGAAAGCTTTCATCAAGTGCATCTTCGATAATCTGGCAAGACAGAAAGAAAGAAAGCCAGGAATCAAAAGACTGTGTAGTATAGAGCTGTCTGGGGACCAATTTTGGTCCTCTGGATGTATTCTGAGATTTCCAAAGATCTGTATTGCAGGCGTGAGATCTCGGAGACTCCTTCCACTGACACTTCAAAGGAATTGGGGCTGAGTAAAGAGCAAAACAAGATGGGCAACAAGCTGTCCTGATGATATCTGGTTCAGGAAAAGTTTGCCCATATGCTGAACAGAGGTCATGAGAGAGTTTGAATTCTGGTAGCTTGATATTGATGCCATATGAGCAAAGAGCTGCTTCAATGAGTTGAATCATTGTGGAGATGATAAACTGAAATGCTTGCAGGATAGTGTTTGCTGCAGATCGACTAACACCAGCCCTGAGATGGAGCCAGACCACAAGCACACAAACCATCTTGATGATCATTCCAGTAGAGATTAAAACATCTAGAATACTGTTAGCGAATAGGGGAAGATATAATTTTTTCCACACCCTTTGGGAGATCTGGTGCTTGAGGTTGTTTGAGAGCTGAACTTGAGGATGCTCAATGCTTCTGCTTTGGAGAATGCCCATCTTTATCACACTTCTCGTGCTCCTGACGAGTTTGTGCAGAAACCGCCTTGCCTGGGTGTTCAATACCCTCGATAGTTACCTTGCACTTTTTGCAGTATGAACAGGTGCATATGACAGGGGGCATTTCAGATGGGGGAGCAATGTGAACTTATACACCTTCAAAACGCACTTGAGAACGTCGAAAACGCTTAAATTTTGACTAAGTTACTGTCAAATCTCTAAAATATCACTCAAATGTGTAGACTTTCAAGGATAATTGCATAAATATGTCAATTCTTCACCGATTTTAGCGTTCTTGGGCTCGTTTTAAAGCTAGAATATGCAGAAATAATATCTATCAAGATACATATGAGCATATTTGCCTTGTTATAACCGATTCTTTATTTTTCGGTCCTAACCGGTTAGTAACTGCAAATAACTGCCTGTAACTGGTTAGTTGCGGTCCGGTTAGGTTATTTTAGGTTTCGGGACAAAGGCTAACTGGTCTCGGTCTCGGTTAGAGCCCCTGGGCACCCAATAACCGGACCTAACCGGACTTTCAAACACTAGACACATAAGTCTGGTCATAGTCGAGGCCAGGTATCTGGGTGTAGCCTTTGGCCACCAGGCGCACCTTGCACCGGATGATTTCCCCTTTGGCATCGTATTTGTTGGTGTAGACCCACATTGAGTCGATAACGTGCGCGTTGTGAGGTTTGTCAACCAGTTCAAAGGCACCCCTGCCGTTCAATGTTTGCCACTCTGTTTCCATTGCTGGTAGCCATAAGTCCGGCTGTTTCATGGCCTCCCAGTAACTCCGTGGTAATTGTGAGTTGGGGAGGGCTGTCATGAGCACTGTTGTGTCCGCAGGTGCGCCAGTGCCTAGAGTAGCCAGATGTGCAGAGCGGCAAGGTGGTACAGGTACAGGCGTTGTTGGTGAGGTGGTCTGAGGAGTTGTGATGGGCGTCACATTGGGCGTGGACTAAGGGTGGAGAGGTGGAGAGGTGACGTGTGGGTGTGGGGCAAGTGGTTTAGCAGGCAGGACGATCCCAGTGGCAGATGAGTTTACTTTGGTGGGTACCGGGTCATCATCGTTGATGACCACAAGAGGGGGTATATCATCATTGGAGATAGTGCAATGGCCATGTCCTTCCTCAAAAATGATGTCCCTGCTTTTGATTGTTGTGCCTGATGCCCGATCCCAAAGTTTATAGGTGCTGCACTCGAAGTACCCTATCAAAACATACTTGATCAATCAAGGCGCTAGTTTCGATGTGCCCATTTCCTCTGGGATCTTGGCGTATGCCGTGCTCCCAAATGGCCGGAGATGCGACACATCCTGGCGTGTTTTCGTCCACTTTTCAGCAGGGATAATGTTGGGATGGCGAGCAGAGGGGATCAAGTTCCGGGTGTAGATTGTGAAGGCAGCAGCATCAGCCCATAGGGATGGGGGTAGTCCGGAATCTGCAATAAGGCAATGTACACCTTCCATGATAAGTCGCATCCCATGTTCTGCCACCCCATTTTGACCATGGGCATAGGGAGTGCTAAACTCGACGGTGATGCCATGTTTCGACATGTATTCCCTCCACTTCTCATTGAAGAACTCAGTCCCCATATCCACCCTTATCTGTATCAACATTTTCCCTGTCTCTCGTTCTGCCTTCACATGGAACTCGGCGAAGGCACTTAGGGTCACATCGCTGGATTTTGAGGAGAGGAAATAGCCCACACGGTAAGAGGACCCTCCATCGTTGAACGCCATCATATACTCTGCTCCCCCAACAGATCGTACTCAAGCTGGTCCCCACAAGTCAATAAACACCCGTTCCAGCACATCTTTTTCGGGCTCCACCACTTTGTCATATGGGTGTGTCGTCTGCTTCCCATAGATACAGTCCTCACATTTTCCCTCGAGCCCAGTATCCCCTGTGATCGTGAGTCTGTCGACCAGATCTTTCTTGGCCATGTCAACGATCGAACAAACGCCCACGTGTCTGAAATGCCGATGCCAGACTTCGAGGCTTGTGGGTTTATTTAGGGAGCGTGCCACGAGAGCCTGAGTGGTGGGAGGTCGAGGTACCACATTTAGCAGGTACATCCCGCTATTCCCAGTGCCCCTCATTAGGGTTCTCTTCTGACCTTCATGGATGTCATAGAATGTCACACCCCCTCCGCCAAAAAGCGCCCAACACTTCGTGTCATCGAGCTTGCTAATTGATATGAGGTTAGCGATGAGGTCGGGGGTATGTACTGCATGTGTGAAGGTGATTGTGGTTCTCAGTGGTCCGGATATGATGGTCTGAGTGACTGTACCGTGCCCGACGATACGGAATTGACCTCCTCTGTTTGCAGATTGGCCTTTGTCAGGCCAAGATAGTGTGTGGTATGTGGAGAAGGCTGAGTGGTTGACAAAGCAGTGCTTGTTCGCTGCTGAGTCCGCATAGGTTGGTACTTCTCGTTCACCTTGTGTCGTCATAACTGTTAATGCATGTGTGATCTTTGAGACGTCTGCCTGGGGCATCCCTTTGTAGTCAGGTCCCAAATTGGATACAAGTGCAAGGGTCAATTCGGAGGAGGGTGAGGCATCTGTGAGGGCTGCTGTTACTGACGAAGTGTTCCCAGTTGGGGTATCATTTTGGGGTAGAGATGGGCGTGCCCCTCTGCATTGTCCGAAACCTGGGGGAAATTGTCCCTCCTTTCCCCCACCACACCAATAGCAGTTGGCAATGGTATGTCCCTGATGTCCACAATTCATGTTTGTACACTGAAGCTGGCTTCGTGGTCGTCTTGCATCAGTTTGCAGAGCTGTTACGACTGTAGCGGGGTTGGTGACAGACTTGGAATGGTTGATTCAGTTCCAGTGGATCGTCAAGCGGCTGATGACTTCTGCAGATGATTTTGCGACATAGAGGGTCCCAACAACGCTGTCCCATGATTCAGGAAGTGACAACAGCATGATCATGCGTAGTGTTTGAAAGTCTGGTTCGGTCCGGTTTTTTGATGCCCAGGGGCATTAACCGTAACCGTAACTGGTCTGCCTTTTCACAAGAAGTCAAAAGACCAGACCGGACCGCAAAAAGACTGCAGACCGCAGTTTTTTGCGGTCTATAGACCAGTTTCGGTCTGCATCGGTTTTAACCGGTTTATGACCGGTCTTTAGGCTAATATTTTAAGATTATGAATCGGTAAATTTATTAACATCTCTATTAGCTTCAAAACGAGCCCAAGAACGTCAAATTCCGTTAGGAATTGGTGCTTCTATAAAATAAGTCTGGTACATCTATTATTCCCAAAAGTAATTTACATTTTAATTCGTATCTCTCTCGTTTTTTTACCAAATCGTACGTTCTTGGGTGCGTTTTAAAGGGTATTTAAGGGGCTACAAAAGACCGGTCCAAGCCGGTCAAGACCGGTTCACGTTAACCGGTTTTTTTGCGGTCTTTACATCTCAAAAATAAAAGACCGTAACCGCAGGTCCGGTCCTTTGCGGTCTTGGTCCGGTCTGGTTACGGTCTTTTTCCAGTCACAAGACCGGACTTCCAAACACTAGCGAAGCCCTCGGTTCCTGCATGTGGGCCCAGGTTGCAACACGTCCTGACATTTCTTTCGCCCTCAGTGTATTATCACGTTTCCAGACTAACCCCGGACCAGCCCACTAGAAGGCAATGCTCCACTTACTCGCTTACCTCAAGGGAACCCTCACTTACAAGATCACGTACCATAGGGGAGGTAGCCTCGACCCGATTGGCTTTGTCGATGCGGACTACGCTGGGGATACAGACACGCGCCGATCCACTTCTGGATACCTCTTCACCGTGGCCGGCAGACCTGTATCATGGAGCTCAAAGCGCCAAGCGACCATCGCCCTATCTACTACAGAAGCGGAATACATGGCTCTTACACGCGCTGCACAACAAGTGCTTTGGATGTACTCATTCATGTCTGAAGTAGGCTTGAAGCGTGAATTCCCAGCTATCCTTCACAGGGACAACACCGCTTCGATTGCCCTCACCTTTAATACGAAAGGACATGCTTGCGCCAAACATATCGACATTCGGCATCATTACATTAGGGCAAGGGGTACCGAAAGTAAAAGTACATGACACAATCATATGTTCACTGGGGTGGGCGCTATGCAATACGAAAGGAACCGCTCACGCAACGAAACAAGGGTTCAAAGTTGCGGAACACGGAAAGAAAGTAAAACGGAGGGTCACGAGTGTCATGCGCACTGATACCATTCTGCGCCCCAACGTACGTTGGGGCGAAATGGCAGCCTTTATGGATTGCGCACGTTCCAAAACCATCCTCGATCGCGTTTGCTTTGGCACCATTCAGGCCGATGGGATCACTGCGGAAAACTGCTGGAGACATGGCGGAGATAAAAGCAAGAATGTGGGTCATCGGGTGTTGAGGCAGGGTTTTTTTAACAAGTTTTTAAAGGGCCAAGGGAAGAACCTACATCAAAAATCTTTTGTTAGGAACCTCCCTTTTTCCCTCTTCTACATTTTCTACAAATGTGTACATAACTACTATAGGAATGCAGGTTTTCATAGTTTCCGATATGGAGATGCTTTGACAGTCTAGCGCGGTGTAGTCTCTTTTCGAGCATGACGGGAAACCAGAGACAAACTAAAACAAGTAGGTGTGATAAACGGGTATAACAATTATAGATATGATATAAAAGCAGAGCAGATGATAACGCAAGTCGGGAGATTTGATGAGACGAAATGAAGAGACGTCGATGCCGTGGCCAGAACAGTAATAAGCGCTATCGAAAGGGTTAGAAGAAAGCTTAAATTGCGAAACCCACTAGGCGGTTGATGTCCAACAGGTTTAACAGCCTCTGGAAATGAGAAACCGAAGGCAAGCCCCCAGAAAACTCCGCTTGAATCACGGTTTCTATCCACATCGGACCGCTCCATGCCATCCACCATATTACCCAAGCGTAGGACACAAAGAACGGGATGCGACTGATCCCGAATTTTTTAGCAGCAGCAATCACCATGTCTTCGACAGTGATTACCATGGCTTGCATGATATAATATTGAATAGTCAATCGCGCAGACGTAATGCTTCTCATCGCCATCCAGTCGCCTGCTGCATGGATTATCCCTGATAATAAGAAGGCGACGTAGAGCTGTGTGTAAGATGAGAGAGCGCTTCCAGCTCGAAATTTTAGGACGTTTCGTGCGAGATATTTTCCAGCACCTGTAACAGGCTAAACAAAAAAATTCAACAGTGAGTACTCGGTGAACTGAAACTGTGTGTAGGCAACTTACCCGTCGCATCATTTGATGCCATGATTTCCTGTTCCAAATCTGTGAGTATCACAAATCAATCTAGGAGATGGCAGTGCGCACCCCCAGAATCTGCGCACAGTGGTAGTTCTCAGCCAGGGACCGAAAAAATTTGGCCAATCTCGTGGTTCCGAAAGGCCAGCCGCAACTGCAAATGCGGAAGCTACCGAATGGTTCATGTACAAAGTTGCCCATATGGAGAACCAGAACATGAAAACATTCCAAGTCTGCCAAAGGAATCCATGCGTTCCGAAGCTCTCCCTATCGATTCCATTGAGTGCGGGATTATGGTGGATGCAAAAGAATACGATGTTGCGGATAAAGTAGACAGTGAGCGCCCTGCAGAGCCTGGATTTGACGAAACCCCATCTGGGTAAGTGGGAGCGTTGAAGGTTTGGAATTGCGGTAGACCATTGAACACCCCGCCAATCACAAGCGAGTGAAGCCGCCCAGTACAGACGCTCAAAAAGAGCCATTTCGCGTACGGGCTTTCGTTGTCGCTCGCGCCTCAGGGAAATCTGAGGCTCGCTGAAGAGGATCAAGTCCGATGCATATGCAAGGAGAGTTGTTGCGTAGATACCGATCGGGAATCCTCTTTTTGTGGGAAAGACGAAAAGGCAGGCATATAGAGCGGCGAGCACAGGGAAGAAAAGTTTTCTTTTTGGTGAGGGTTTCGACGCTATTGCAATGACGGCGAGGAGGGTAAATAGCACGCAAAGAATCCCTATAGATCCCATGCTGGTGGTTGAGAGAGTAGCGTTAACGGCCCGTAGGAAATTAAATTATATGTAGACTCACAGGAGGTCTGTCGAACCAATGGAAGATGGGCCGGGGAACAAAAAAGTGATGTGTAGTTCAATATGTACTACCTGTGAAGATACTCGGGCCCCGGCTTCGTCATTTGGTGACAAGATGTTTGTCAAACAGACACATGTTTGCCAACTTGAGCAAAAGCCTTGCTATAGCCGCTGATGTTTCGGCAACAATGAGGGGGAAGTTCAACTTGAAGCTGGCTTAACGAGTCAGCATGGAACTCGTTAATAAAATGCTATCGTTTGTGTGGATATAATTGTGGACCGACCTTTGTACTTCTACATTCCTGCGAGTTCTGAAAGATCTGACTCAATACCCACACAATACCCACAACTGTCACCTCTGCCGAGTCCTGAGAATGATTGAATGTGAGAACAGGTAGGCAAGTCGGTCGAGGGTGCAAAGGGCGGATCTCCTCAGAAATAAAAGAAAGGTTAGCAAGGGTGCGAGTACAACCATTCCTAAAGGACCTACGCGGAAAGTTCTTTGATCTGGCAATCTTTCATTCAACTTCCATTGGTACTCATGTCGATATGATTGTCCAAGATAGGTCAAATTTGCCCATCTCCACTGCTCACTAGTACCAGCGCCGGGCCGCCGTATCTAAACTCGCTTATGAGAATGGAGTAACGCACAATCCAGGCAAAATCCAGGTCAAGCTAAGCACGAGGTTCGAGGTTCGAGTTGAAAGGATAAGAAAATAATAATAATAATTCTTTTTTTACCTTTCCACGTCGATATCGATCATATCTCTGCCTCTTCCTCTGATTCTCTTGATCACCTCCACATCCTTAAGTACCCTCACGCGAACAAGCCAGAGTATGATCACAATGTCTTCAACCCGCGTGTGCGGGGCTTGCGAGACCGGACGAAGCTCATGGAGGGAATCTGTTACTTTTTGGTCGGAAAGCTAGAGAGTGGGCGAGATGGTGCCAAGACCGTGAGTTTAAATGCCTTTTGAGTAGTGTGGTTTAGTTCTTGACATGCGTAGGCTACTAGACTCTACCGATGTTTGCAACCTTCGGAAACAGTAGCGTTTCGGACGTCTTTGTCAAAGTATTTCGAGACCTTAAGGCATCACTCGCGGTATCCTTCGTTGAAAACCTCTCTGGGTGCTAGCGCGGGGAAAGCAAAAGCGAAGGAATTGAGAACTGAGGCTGAAAGTTTAACGACTGCTTGGTGGTGGAGGGACGTTGTGGTTCACAAGTCTCTGCCAGAAGACTGTTTCGGTGAAAAGTACGCGTCTTTTCTGCCAACACCCTTTGTCTAATCTCTTCTGAATAGGTTTGAACGCCTTTTGCTATCTGTTTCCATGCATGTGCTGTTGAGGGGCTCTTCAACCATACCACCCGAAAGAATGAGCGTAGGTTCGCCTCAAACACCCTTCCTGTTTAAAGCCGTCTGATGATTCCACCAAGGGTCAGCCGTCGATCTACACCGATCTCTTGGCTAAGTGCTAGTTAACTCGACATTTGTTGGTTCCGAAACGCGTCACTTCTCATGCGACGACAAGGTGATCTAAAATCATTGCGCGTGAGTTATTGTCTTGCTGTTGCCTCATCCTATTGATGGTATCTTTTGACAGCACAATCTCAATTCGCATGCTGGCCAAGGAACGTCACGATACGACTCGCCTAGTACCACGCAAAAGCTGGTCTCTTTATCGGACTCCGATTTGGCGAATTCATCCTGGAGTGGCGAAGAAGGTCTCAAAGTCCTCCATGCCCCCATTGAAATGGCCGCCCTGAAATTGATGACACCATGCAACCCAGTCATCAGATTCTATCCACATGACGAGTTTAAGCGAAAACGACAGGGTCAGTTCTAAGCTTAAACCTCTCTTCGACGCTACAATTCATCTTAGGTGACACCCCCACCTCCACTTCCCATCGCGGCCGCTCACAACCCGTCAAATCTACGAAAACTTCGGAAGCCGATCTACAACAATGCTAAAACCAAGAATGCCGAGCGCACTACACAAGCCCAACTCATCCTCTCCGACTCTAATGCAGAGAAGAACATGTGCAGTGCACTGGCTGAGGCACTTATCAAGCCTGGCTCAACGGACGGCAGTCTTGCCATCGGTCCAGGATCAGCCGGGCCCCAAACTTGATCTGTGGACATCAACCATTGAGGCTCGGGAGAGTTTTAACTTGAACGTATGTTTCATTGCTTCAACCCATGGACTATTCTGATCACTCTACAGACCCGACGACCGGGCTACTATCCTCTTTCGGGTTGGACATATCTAGGAGGCATCGAGGACCTAATGGACGACCTGCGAGAAGGGGTGTTGTTGCCTTATCCTCCCGTTCCAGACACGACAGCACCGAGGCTGCCGGCGACGGACTCTCAACCGAACGTGCCTTCAACGTCAGTATCAGTCCAGAGCGTGGGCCTCTTCGGCTCGCCGCCTCGGGGAGGGCTTTTCATCTACCCCACCCTCCAGCGTCAAGCCTCCGTCAGCGTATCTCCAGAGTGGCAAAAGATCGGTGCGATTCTCCCTGGCTAGGATAAGGCGGCCTACACTCTTCCAGAACGTGATGAACGATGTTGATCGGGTTAGTAGACGATTCGACAGAAGAACCAAGTAGTGAGATCCAGACGCCAAAGAGGAAGCAACCCGTTAACAGGATCTGGACGGCCGGCAGTGCCAAGCCCGATATGAAGGAGGGTACCCCTAGAGACTCATTCCCAATGGCTGCGCTCCTCATTGAGCCCGCGATGTCGTTGCCCTCGCTCCTTACCTCGTCCCTTTTGCATGGGGATGAGGATGGGGATTTAAATGTCATGACACCGACGTTCGCACGAAGGGACAGTGCGGCTTCCTGGCTTGGTGACGACGACGATGTTGATGAGGGGGATTGAGATGACCCTCCGAGCATGACCGTCCGCGATATTCTGCTACAGCGGACACAAGTAAGTTCGATTTGTTAGGTGAGCATGACCTCTTCTGAGTGTGGTTGATATTCAATGAACTGATGGTGGTTCTTTCAGATGCAGAAGGGGACGAAGACAGTATGTTAGGAAATGACGGGTCCTTCGAGTGGAATTAATCCAGACGAATGTAATGAATGTTCTTGCTTGCTCTGTCCATGGATGTCTGAGATGCGTTCCAACTTTAGCCTGAATCATGGATGTCGGCAACCTCGAGCCGATCATAACTTGCTCCGCAGCATGAAGTTCTTTTCTTGTTTGTTCCTAGTTCCTCATCACCAGTTCGATAAACAGTACTGAAAAATCCGA